TAGCACTAATCAAATGTTCAATAAGTATTTGACAAGTAAATAAGTTTCTTTTTAAAGTACCCTTCTACTTTAAAGTATTGGGGTTTGGAATAATGATATTATCTGAAAATTTTATTCATATTTTATTAAAAATATTAAAACTGTTTAAATAGACCATATTTTCATTGCTTTTTAGTTTTGTCATAATCTAATTCTTTCATCTATATTCCAGTGAAAGACTCTCTTAAGAATATACTTTTGCAGAGTGTGTTAAACTGAAAGAGAAGATTATAAAGTGATAGAATTGCAGTAGTAACATGAAAATCTGTAAAACTTACTTTACAGTGTTATTTCTTTGGATTTTATGGCTTTATCCAAAGTTTTAGCTATTGAGGAACTCCCGCGTCCCTACTTTCATAAAGCAATTTTATGGCCTCATAGAAATTGATTTGTAAAGTTTTAAAACTAAAAAGTATATGACCATCTATCCAGGCTTGGGAAAGCATTTATTTTACTTAAAATTAACCATAAATTATTTAACTCCCTGAGGATATATTAATTAAGGGCATAAAATTAAGAACTTTTTTCTTTGGGTTCAATGCTTAGATGAACAAAAGTTTTCTTTAAATATAGTTAGACACCAGGAATGTCATAACATCCAGCAGTATAGGGATTTTGTGGTGATATCAGTTAAACACGGTTTCCTCAAGCTCTCACAAGCCTAACTAGAATATATGAATTTATACAGGTAGATTTTTTTTAATGAGGGTAAACAAGTACCTGAATTGTTTATTAATTAGTTCAGACAACATGTAGGAACTGGGTTAAGTTCAGGGGATCTACAAAGAGGAGTAAAATGAAATCTCCTTTCTTRAAGACTCCTCATCTTCTGGGAAGACAGATATGGAAACAGATCAAGAAGGCTTCCCAGATCCAGAAAAACTGAAACATTGAATTGATATGAAGAAAGATTATGGTTTTGTGAATGAAAGTGGGAAACTTACTCTCTGTTCTCAGAAGGCCCTATTTAGAATTCAGAAAGCTAAGTGCAATAATTGAAGGCTGCTAAATGTGTAATGGGCTCTTAGAAATTTGGAGGTCATTGGGAACATGTTTGAGTGTAGAGAAGAACTTGAAGTCTGGTGTTTTGAATGTTGCATCTGGAGAGAATGAAGTTGGTTGGCCCACACTAAGATGAAGAAAGCTCATATGACCCAGTGTGGCTATTCATGGTCTAAGTTAAAGAAAGATGTGGACTCATACTGACTGCTTTGTGAGACAGAGACCTTTCTAATTACCTAATTGTCTTTAAACTCAGTCTACAGATTTATTCCTACAGATCCCTCCCATGGCAATGTTCTGGATTCTTCGAGTGCAAGAATCCCAATTAAGAAATAATCTTATTCCCCTAAGTTTTACTTGTATAGAGTGAGAACATGGGAAAATCAAGATATGAACGGGACTGTATTTACTTTAAGAAAAGGAAATGTTTAGAAGATATTTGTTGAATGCCTGTAACATAATAGAAAGCCTTTGGAGCAAAACCAGATTACATTTAATGATCTCTTAGTAAGTCCCAGACAATGTTCATAAATCTTTAAATACAGCATCTCACGTGATGCTTCTAAGAAAACTATGGAGTAAGTACCTTTAGCATCTACCTTACTTTAGTATCCCAGTTTCCCAGATGAGAAACCTGGGACACAGGCACTTTAACCACAGATGCACAGTTAGTAAATGATGACATTAGGATTTGAACCCAGGCAGTCTGGCCCCAGAGCCTGTGTACTGAGATCTTCTAAGGACTTTTTGAACTTGGGGAAATTTTTCCATCTCTCACATCCTGTTTCCTCATCTGTAAATTGCATTGGAGACCTTTACATAGGGCTGTCCTGCAGGTAAGAGGTTTACATGGTACCAGCACATAGCTGTGTTCCCTGGTCTTCYACGATGATGGCAGAGTTTGAGAAAGCCTTCTTCCTCTTGTACAATAATTGCTCTTCCTGCTCCAAGATTGGCCAACATAAACTAAATTATCAATAAATGGTAGTAATTGGCTTTGTGAAATTGTCATTTTTATTTAATCTGTATCCTAAAACTGGAACTACTTTCTTGAAATCATCAGGAAACGTATATTGCATTGTGCTTGGAAATGAACTTCATTTTTCCTCACTTTCATGTCAGTGTTCTTTGGGTTAAGACCATCCTGTAGTTGTCACATTATTGTCAAGTTTGAAGAATGTGCTATAATGATAAGGAGAAATTCAGAAATAATACAAGGCAAGTTCTGATATTCATTTGCTTTGACTTAGAATTTGTGAGTCAGCCACTGGGAATGTCATCTTACCTCAGATACATATTATGTGTCTAAAATAACTTTGGAAAATTACCTGTATTTGAAGCACATTCTCTGAGTGATTATGAGCGTAGCGTTTCTTGACCTGAGAAGTGACTCTGTGTAGAGTGTCATGCATATCCATTTAAATCTATACAAGTGTTGGTACATTAGTCATGGTTATGCAGATAAATAGAACCGATAGGAGGTGGGGGTATTTAAGGARTTTGTTCATTGGCTCATGCACTGGCAAGTTCGAAATCTACAAAACAGATGAGCAAGCTGGAAATRCAGGCAAAATTTCCATGTTGTAGCTCTCTTTTCTTTTCTTTTTTGGTATCAGGGATTGAACCCAGGATGCTTAAGCACTTATCTACATCCCCAGCCCCCATTTTTATATTTTATTTAGCGATAGGATCTCACTAAGTTGTTTAGGGCTTTGCTAAGTTGCTGAGGCTGGTTTTGAACATACAATCCTCCTGCCTAAACTTCCTGAGCCATATTATAGATGTAAGGTTGAATTCCCTTTTCTCTAGAAAGCCTCAGATTTTTCAATTAAGGACATTAACTAATTGTATGAGACTCATCATGTTATGGAAAGTAAACTCCTTTATTTAAAAGTCAACCGATAGTACATGTCAGTCTCATCCACAAAATACAGATGTTCCTCAATTCTCAATGGGTTATATCCTCATTGATTGTAAGAAAATATTAGTCAAAAATGCATTTCATGCAACTAACGTACCTATTACCTGTACATAATAGCAACACAGGACGCTGTAGAGTATTTGTTGTTTACCCTGGAGATCTTGTGGCTGATTGGGAGCTGTGGTTTGCTCTGCTGTTCAGCATCTCAAGAGAGTATCACACTGCATATTGCTAGCCTGGGAAAAGATTCAAACCCCAAATTCAAAGTATGGTTTCTATTAAATGTATATTTTTTGTACCATCCTAAAGTCAAAAAGTCAAAAGTTGGGGACCACCTGTTTCTTCATTGAAACATCTAGACTAATGTCCAACCAAACAAATGGGCTCCATAGCCTAGCTGTGTTGGCACWTAACATTAACCATCACATTCGTTTTCTGCCATTGCATGTAAAAGTGTCTGTTGTGTCCACCCATTTTCCAGCCCATTCCCAGCTCAAGTCAAATGCTTGTGTTTTGATGATGCTGTCAGGAGCTTAGAAACTTTCTTTCTCTCCCTGGAGTATTGAGTAGCACTTGGATTTTGGTTTATTGAGGGGAAAAAAAGGATGAGAAAGTTTTAAAGGGGGAATAAACCTTCACTAAGCAACTTATGAACTATTAACTCCTCTTTTTAAGGATCTGCAGTGTAGYAGGCCAAGTTCATGCTTCAAAGGATTTACAGTCTGCTCTGGCAAGGCTAACAGGCATTTAAATGAGTGCAATAAAGTGTGACAGTGTGTGCAGGACAAAGTGGGGTTGCAGCGGAGTGTCAAAGAGCTGCATGGAATAGGGGTAGGAATGATTCAACTCTGAGGTTGGCATGTAAAGAGAGTGTGGGTTTGCAAACTCCTCCAGGAGAAGTCAGGGAGGAGTAGGGATCCCAGCAGGAGAGTGAGATGTGAGACCAGGTGAGAGGAGGCAGGGCTGTCCAGTAACTTGACCTAGTTGTTGTGAATGGATGAAAGCCTCAGGACTGTGAGGTTCAGCAAGCCCAGAAAGCGAGGTGAAGGCCTGATTGTAGGGTCTGTGTTTTATCCCATCTGAAGCAAAGATGAGCCTTAGAGTAGTTTTAAACCAGAGAATAGTACAGACAGCATTCTCAGGTTTAGTGTTTAAAATTCAGTCGAATAGTTTGGCTATTTTCAACTCATGTAGAATAGGAATAGGAATGTCTGGGAAAATGGATTTCAGTACATCCTCTAGTGTCTTTTTGCTTAAATTCAAAGTCATCATAGCAACATTTCAATGGATAGAAAAGGTCTCTGTGGAATCTCTGAAAGAGTTGGGCTAAAAGTTACTTTAAAATAGTAGGATTGAAATAAGGATTCAACATGATAGAGGGTGAGAAATAGGAAAGAAATTCCTGAGACCTTTATTAGAGCCTGGGTTCTCTTTTCTGTTCACTATTTTTCTTCCCAATTTGTTGGGTAATGACATTTTTGTTTACTTAACGTTCATGATCCAAAATAATGTGTGAGATCTTCATAGACGGTCCCATACTTGGACTTCATTAAGATCCCAATTAAGATCCCAAAACAGCTACTCAGTGCATATGTGTTTGGTGAATGTATCTTGAAAAACAGAACCACTTACATACATCTGTCTCTGATGAGCATTGAAATATGCAGTAAGCAGAGTGAGGTCTGAGGTGCTTATATGATCTGGTGGCAAATTCTGCTTTTTGAATACTGATTAGAGCTAGACAAAATGTCAGTTTCTACAGGACATGGTGGTACATGCCTGTAATCCTAGTGACTTGGGAGGCTGAGGCAGAAGGATCGTGAGTTCAAAGCCAGCCTCAGCAAAAGTGAGGTACTAAGCAACTCAGTGAGACCCAGTCTCTAAATTAAAAAAAATACAAAATAGGGCTGGGGATGTGGCTCAGTGGTCCCTTGAGTTCAATCCCTGGAACCTTAAAAAAAAAGTCATTTTCCTTTAAACCTTCTCAGATAATTTGTGCTAGTTAACAGCAAAAAGAAACTTCAAGTCAGGGAGCAGCATGTCCTCAGAGGTTTGTGGCTAATCGATACTTTCTACTCTGGGTATTGACAGCTGTGTGCTGAATGCCCTTGTCTTTGGCTATGTAGGTTGACTATTGTGAAATGGATCATACTGCTTTTATTGCCATTCAGGGTTAATCAGTGCCCAGAGAGTACTGTGTGTGGCGTGCCTGTGACACTCCTCTGCCTTTTAATTGTTCAGGATTTGGGGCTTTTGATGGTGTTGCCTTTGTGTGCTCAGACCTTGACTGATCAGTTTTTAACTCAGAGCTTATGCTTCTTTGCAGGATGCCACAGTTTGGAAGCCTGATTCATGCCAAAACTGCCGTTGCCATGGCAACATCGTTATCTGCAAACCTGTTGTTTGCAGAAACCCTCAGTGTGCCTTTGAGAAGGTAAGATATCCTAATGGTACCCTAAATATATTGGATTAGTCTGTGAAGGGTCAGGTTTTTGCATCTTATTGATCATCTGTTTTCAACATTCAGCTCAATCTCTAATTGCGAGCTTTAGGAAATGCATGAGAGAATTTTAACATATCACATGTAAGAATATATTAATTTTCATTTATTGAGGACAAGGTGCTCAGTTGAAGGTTTACCAGTTGTTATCCCAGTTAGTATTATGGAGAGTTGRTGCCTTTACCCCCACATTACAGATAAGAAAGGTGAAGCCTGGAGATTTTAAGCAATTAAACAAGATGGTACAATTAGTAAACTGCTGCCCAGAGATTTTTCCCTGATTTTGGCACAAGCCAAAGATGTTGACACTAATCTCAACAACTCATCGCACCATTGCATGAGTCAAACATCAAAATTGACTTCTCAAATACTATTTTCTAAAAACTCCACTTGTGTCTGCCCCTGATGGTATCACTGTGTTGCCAGCAGGTTCCTGAAGAAGCAAGAGAGTCCTTGATACAAGATTGTCCTCAAATTTGAACAAGCATATGCGTGATATGTCCTCCTTTATCCTCTGTTAAAACTTTTCAGTTTTTTTTCTGACTATAAATGTTTTGTTAGAATAATTTGTTTTCTAGCTCTTGACTCTTTTTAAAGTCAATATATTTTTTTAAAAAGGTGTAAGTTTGAAATTTGAATGTTTGAAGCTCCCTAGAGAAGACCGATTATTTTCTTAAGAAAGCATTCTGTCAATTTCATAAGCACAGTTTATTTTTCTGGTTTCTGCCCTCCCCCCCCCAGTAATTAATCTTGAGACTTTCTACATCTAATGCTAATAATAAGGTTCTGTTTTTCCCTAACATTGGAATGAAGGTATGCCTTTAGACTATTTCTCATTTTCTGTGTGGGTGGATTTCTGAGAATCAGGGAGTACACAAATGTTAATATTTTGCTGYATATTATGAATCCTTCTATTGTATGGAGTCAGTACTCCTAAGAAATCACCAATTGGTTGATGGCAGAGTCTGTGTGGTGATGTAGGGGCCATGCTGTGATATCACAGAAGAAGCCCTAAATTAGTTGTTAGAAGACATATTGGTGAAACTAAAGTGTTTTATACCAAGAGTCAGCAGAATAAATGTGGCCTGATGCTTATATTTTTATGACCTATAAACTAAGAATATTTTCTTTATTTTTAAATAGTTGAAAATAGCCATGACCAATAACTTATGAAAGTTATATGAACTCAGTATTTAGAATCAAAAACTAAAAACTTATTGAGACACAGGCATACTCATTTGTTCATGCATTATCTTTGGCTGCTTTTATACTTCAGTCACAAGCGTTGTGATATAGACCTAATTGTGAATCCCAAAGGCTAAAATATTTACTGAAAAAGTTTCTGGTGCGTGTACTCTACTGAGCTCACAATTTCATCTTTTTTTAGTTTGTTCTCTTCCTACTTCTTCTCATCTCAGTAAATCCATTCTCTAGGTACACAGGTCAGAAATCTTACACCATCTTTGACTCCTTACTTTCTTCCCATCCTACATCCAGGACATTTGCASATCTCCCAGCTCTTCCTTCATACAATAGTACATTGCAAATGTGAGTTCTCTGCTCTCACTCTGGTTTCACCTGTTACCATCTTTCCCTTGGATTCTCATAGTAGCCTTTCATCTGGTCTCACTGCTCCTGTGCTTGCTTTCTTCATTGTAATGTTGGTGTAGCAGCCAGGATGATCCTATTAAAACTGACATCAGATCGTGTTGCTTCTCTCCTTAAACCCTCCAGTGACTTCCAATGGCTTCTCTTCTCAATTGGAGTAACTCCTCACGGTGTCTTTTAAGGTATTACTGCACCGCTCTAATCAATCTTCCCCTAGCATCTTCTGCTCATTTTGCTTCAGCCATCAAGCCTCTTTGCTGGTCGCTGGATACAAGTACACACAGATACGCACACCACATATCTTAGAACAATTTTGTGGGAACAGTAAAGCGAGAGGCCCTATGGCAAAAGTGTTTATCTGTCTATCTATCTATCTATCTATCTATCTATCTATCTATCTATCTTAATCTTTTAGTTTAAGTCTTGCTGGCATGATCTTCTGTTTAAAATTGCCACCCTTTACCACCTTCCTCACATTTTGTATCCACCTTCCATGTTTTTCTTCGTAGTACTAACTACTGCCTGGTGTACTATGTGTTTTTGCTGATATCTCTTGTTTACTGTCTCTTTTATTCACTATATATCTTCAACACCAGCAATCATACTTGATATGTGGTGGGTATGCAATAAATATTTTTGACTGAATGAATGAGGGATGAGGCTAGAAATTGGTAAATTCACAGTTATAGAGAAGTTTGTAGGCTGCACTATGGAGCTTAGAATTCTTTTCATGGTGATGGAATGCTAATGAAGATTTTAGGCATAAATGCAGAATGGCCAGGTTTTCTTTTGGAAGGATACCACTGGTGTTTCAAAGATAAGCATAATATTAGAAACAAGGATTTCAATTTAGAGGCTATGAGAATAATACAGATGAAAGGATGAGTATTGTTTGCAAGAATCAGGGGAAAAGGTACACTCATACATTTCTGGTGGGACTGCAAATTGGTGCAATGACTCTAGAAAGCAGTATGGAGATTTTTCAGAAAACTTAGAATGGAACCATCATTTGACCCAATTATCCCACTTCTTGGCATATACCCAAAGGACTTAAAATCAGCATACTGTTAGTTATACAGCCACATCAATATTTATAGTAGTTCATTTCACAAAAGCCAAGCTATGGAATCAACCTAGGTGTCCTTCAACGGAAGAATGGATAAAGAAAATGTGGCATATATACACAACGGAATATTCCTCAAACATAAAGAAGAATGAGATTATGGTATTTGCTGGTAAATTGATAGAACTGGAGACTATTATGCTAAGTAAAATAAGCTCATCTCAAAAAAACCAAAGGCCAAATATTCTCTCTGATATGTGGATGCTAACATATAATCAGGGGTTGGGGAAGGAAGAATAGAAGTTCATTGGATTAGACAAAGGGGAGTGAAGGGAAGGGAAGGGAAGGGAAGGAGGATGGGACTAGGAAAGACAGTAGAATGAATTGGATATAACTTTCCTATGTTCACATATGACTACACGACCAGTGTAACTCTACATCATATACAACCTCAAGAATGGGAGGTTATACTCCATGAATGTATAGTATGTCAAAAATACACTCTACTGTCATATATATCTAAAAAGAACAAATAAAAWTTTTTTTAAAAGAAAGGATGGATATCTGAATTAGAGCATGGTAGTGTAGGGATCAAGAGGAAAGGTTAGGTTCTATACATACCTAGGGGATACGTCAGTAGAACTGATTGAAGGTAGGAAGATGAGGGAAAGAAGGAGAAATGACTTCCATGTTTATGGCTTGATGAGCCACCAACTGATCCCTCTATATCTTAACTAGGTATCTGTGTATCTATCTATCTGTCAGTATATGTATATCTTAGTAGTCCAACTGGGAAATGTGATGATTTCAGTTTGAGGCAAGTTGAGTTTAAAGTGTCCAGGGAGAAGCCAGTCAGCAGGATATATGAGAACAAACCTCAGAGGGAAGACAGAGCTGAAGTAATAATGTGGGTGTCTGGGGCCTTTAGAATTAATGAACTTATCCAAAGAGATGGTGTGAGAAAAGGATACAAGGCCAAGGATGGAGTTTGGGCCAGAGGAACAGGAGAAAGAGAACTTAAAGTTTAAGAAGACAGGGTGAGAGAGGCAAGAGCTAAGGAATGGTCAAAGAGGAAAGCAAATATGGTTGCAGGGGAGTAGAGGCTTTTCAGGAGGACTTTGTGTTAACTACAGTTGAGGGACTAAGTGGGAGAAGAATTCAATGTGATCCACTGCATTTGGCAACATGTGGGTTAATGTGAATGAAATGGAGGGAGCGGGAGTCATGGTGCTAAGTTTTGAGGACTGAATGGAAAATGAGGAAAGGAAGGTTAACTCAAGGCTACTCTTTCAAAGCTTGACTGAGTGGAGAAGGGGGATGTTTGGAAGACAACAGCTCGTCTGTGAAGTTTTTTGAACTCCTCTCCCAAAGCCATCTACCCTCCTGTGTACTGCCATGGTGTTTTGTGCTTACCCTTCTTACACTTCTTGGCTAGAATGCATATGCCYGTTTGTCTGCTCTTCCTCCAGACTGTAAGCTCCTTGAGAGCAGCAATCTTGTTTCCTTCACTATTGCAGATGAGCACAGAAGCCTTCTGCTAGCATTTGTAGAATAATCCCTTGGATGGGGGTGGGATTTTACTTTGTTTTGTTTTTTAGTTTTTTTTTTTTTTTTAATATTAGCATGAGAGAAACAAGATCACCTTAGGAGAAAAGGGGAATGATCCAGAATGGAGAGAGAAGGTGAAGACATGAAGGTTGGGAGGGAGGAGAATGAAAGAGAAAAAATGAATTAGAGTAGTTCGTAACGAATTCCAGAGTATGGAATGGGATGGGGTGGGAAAGCAACCTCATTCTCTAGGAATGGAAAGAAAAACCCATGGATAAATACAGATACAGGTAAATCTGAGGGCGAGAAAAGGAAGAGGATACTGATGCAGTTCATACCTAGTGATGTTTCTTTGTGAAGATTTTGAGATTCTTGTGGGAGTTATGAGAGTAGTGAATGTTAGAGGTCAGTGAGGGGAGAAAGGGACTGATCAAGGTCAGATAAAGTGTGGTGTTAYGGGAGCAGGAGGCCATGAACTTGTGGGTACCAAGCTGCAGAGTGGAATGCTTTTCTCAGCAATGCACACCAGTCAAGTATAAAAGAGGATAAGACAAAATGTGGGATAGATACGGGACTGGGATTTTGCCATTCTCATGAAGAGACAGAGTAGAGATATGGGAAGTGGTGGGTGTTGAGACTGACATCAGTAGGAAAACAATGCCAACTGGGGGCTGAATGGCTACCAGGAAAAGAGGTGCTCAAGAGTCTCTGAGGGAAATAAGGTTAGTGGGAGTGAGGATGAATGGGAGCTAAATACTAGGAGGCACAGGTTCAGAGAGATGAAGGCTTCTGGTCTACAGTAGTGTAGAGTGCAGATAGGTTCCAAGTYTAACTATGGCTATGGGCTTTTTCAAGACAAATGGAGTGAGGATTGCTTGAATTGAGGTGGTCAAATAATGTACAAAGAAAGAATGTGGGATTGATCATTTTCATGGACACTGAAGCTGTCAGAATGATGCTCAGATATAAGGTGGAGAAGAAACTGAGATCTAGGTGCCACATAATACACACACACACACACACACACTCACACTCACACACTATATATATATATATATATAACATATTTGTGCATGCTTTTATATGCTTAGTACAGTAGTGCCTTCTTACCTGTTGTTTTGCATTGTCAACCATGGTCTGAAAATATTATCTGGAAAATTTCAGAAATGAATACTTCATTAGTTTTGAATCATATGACATTCTGAGTAGTGTCATGAAATATTACACAGTTCTCCTCCATCCTGCCCAGGACTTGAATCATCCTTTGTTCAGTGTATCTACAGTGTATATGCTGTCTGCCCATTAGTTGCTTAGTAGCCATCTCAGTTATCAGATCCACTGTGTTGGTATGGCAGTGCTGTGTTCTAGTAACCTTTATTTCACTTCATAATTGCCCCAAAGCTCAAGAATCGTGATGTTGGGAAGAAAAACATTAAGTACTGAAATTCACATACTGAAAATATCTATAGTACAATAAGATATTTTGAAAGAGACATCACATTTATATAACTTATCACAGCATTTAAAAATAATTATTCTCTTTTATGATTAGCTTATTTTTAATCTCTTACTGAGCCTAATTCACAAATTAAATTTTATCATATGTAGGTATGTATGTAAGAAAGACATAGAATATATAGGGTGCAATACTATATGTAGTTTCAGGCATCTACTGGGAGCTTTGAAATGTATCCTACATGGGAAGGAGACTACTGTACCTAGCTCTTATGAGCACTCAATAAATGTTAGCTAAAATTATGAAATTATCCCTTATTGTTAGTTGTGCTTCTAGAACCTAATCAAGTCCTCTTGCTCAGTTCCCCTGACAGTTGTCCTTGATGTCTCTTGCCCATGCAGTCACTTTCATTGCTCTTCAGAGCAAAGCCCAGAGGAAGAGTGGGCCTGTGTGATTTGTGCAGTCCACAGCTCACCAAGCTGTGTAGGGTTACATGGTCAGGTGCCAAGAATTCCTTGCTTCCCATTTTCCAGGCACACACTTGCAACATTTTTTGATCCTCCTTCACCTCATCTCTGTCATGCCCCACCGGAAGTTCAACAGATGGACCCTCGCTGGGAACCTCCCTTTCTTCTTGCCCACTGCCACTCACACATAAAGAATACTATATTTTTGAAATGAGTTTTTTGAGAACCATATCTGAAAATTAGTAGTTATATAATAAAAGAAAACTAATTTGGAGGCATAAGACATTCTTTGAAGTTTTCCATTCTCTCTGCCTTTCTCCCTTGCTCCTTGCTGCCAAGTTAGAATATAAACAACTGGATTATCTMATTTCCTATCTGTATGAAATTCTTAGGAGAAATTATGCTAATGTAATTTCTATTGCCATCTTAGTGGAAATTGAAGTGTACTTTTCTATTTGGGTTCAGAGGCGACTTTTCGGAGAAGTCATTAATGTTGCACAGAATGGGCAATTTTATAAAATCCCATATCATATAAATTTTGTTCTTTATCAAGCAAATAAGAATTTGGCGATTACTGTTATTGATGTATTTATCTATGTAGTGGATTAACTGTTGTAAAATCTCAACCCTATTTCCCATACACGCTTGTGGMTGTAGTTGTGCGAATGAGAATTCTCTTGTAGATACAATTTTTTTAAAAAATGGAAGCAACAAAAAATAACAAAGAAAATATTACCACACACAARCACACACACACACAATTTTATTTTTTCATTCTACTGACTGAATTCTTGGTTGACTTTTATCTTGTGGATGTGTCATGACTTCTTGGCTAATGAAGAATCTTCCACCATTCTTGGTCAGAATTATTCATTGCCTGTTCTGCCACATCTAGAATTGGGGAAATCCTAAGATATATAGCAGAGGAGTGGTGTGAATAAGAGGATAGAATAGGAGAATCACAGGGCCCCAAATACCAACCTTCTGGTGTGTGTGTGTGTGTGTGTGTGTGTGTGTGTGTGTGTATATATATATATATATATATATATATATATATATATATATATAAATTCTGGGGATGGATTCCAGGGCCTTACAATTGCTGGGCAAGTATGCTACCACTATGCTACACCCCCAATCACTCAATTTTTAGTAACTCTTAATAGATTCTTCATAGTGGCAAATTCATTGTTAGTTAATATGTGATAACTTCCACAAAAAATCTTGAGATATCAAGTGGTAATCCATTGTTTTGATACTATCCAGAAGCAAATTGCAATTAAAAGAAAAAAAAAAAAACTTGAAAAACAGGACAGATTTTTACTGGAGCCCAGGAATTCTACCCAGCTTCCCATAGTACTTACATATGATACCTCCACAACAATGCTACTTCCTAGACAGACTTTGTCCTTCAACCTCCTGCCCCCAAGTGCCTGGTTACTCTGCTTCTTAAGTAAAAATTGACTGTCAGCCCTTCAGCTCCCCTCAGCGTTAGGCCTCACCAAGATGGCTRGAAGATTTGCCAGCTCGGTGGCCATCCCCCATGCACCAGAATCTTCTTCCTCTCTCCAGTAGAGGAAAATACTACCCGTAAGGAAATATGCTTCTTCTCTCACCCTGACTGCCTTTCTTGTGTGGAGCATTTCTAGTGAAAATAATTCTTCACTTCATTACATGTGAAAAGATGTAGACTTTTTTTTTTTTTTCCCAAGGAAATTACTTTCATAGAAGCTCCTCTTAACAGAGGATCATTTTGTTAGTTTATTTACTTATCCTGTCTGTTGTTGTCACTGGTGGACACTCATGAGATTTAGAGACTCTAAGATACTTGGGGACTGATGAACCATGTGATTCTGTTTGCTGTTGCTGTTTTACACTGAGCTGTTTTTAAATGCTTAGGGAGAAGTGCTTCAAATAGCTGCCAATCAGTGCTGCCCAGAGTGTGTATCGAGGACTCCTGGATCTTGCCACCATGAAGAGAGAATCCATGAGGTAAGTATTTTCTGATCCCAGGTTGATTCTATGTCTGCAGATTGTTGACAAGAGAAATCCGAATGTTAAACTTTTTTKACGGGAGATTTTTTTTCCACCTGGCCTGCAGAGGATCTGAAACTCATTTGACTCTCTATGGGCAATTAGGTTTCTTGAATAAGATGAAAACTGTCCTGTTTATCCCATTAGCCCTACATAAATATCTATAGATTAAATCTGATTGAATAATGAGTAGTATGAGAATGTTAATACTGAGAAGTTGTGAAAAGTATCACCTTTCTTTTGTATACTATATATATTTTATTTGATAGTTATAAACAACCCATGAGTTGTTGAATAAAGCAGATGATATTACTCTTTACTCAAAGATATAAAAAAATTGAATTGCAAATAGCCAATGCATGTTACTATTAATAAGTGGGATAACCTTGGTCTTTAGAACCATAATTTATAATTCTACCCCATTCAGGTAGTTTCTCAATTTCAGTACTATCAACATTTTAGGCCTTATTTGGGGGGCTGTCCTATGAATCATAGGGAGTTTAATATCATCTCTAGCTTCTATTCAGTAGATGTTAGTAACAAACTTTAATCAAGACAATGAGAAATGTCTGCAGACATGACCAAATTTTCCTTAGTAGGCAAAATGCTCACACACCCTTCTCTCCATCCTGTAAAGAATCACAGTAGTAGAAAAATATCCTAAAGATTTTAAAATTATATCTTCTCATTCTAGATCCTTTAGGATTAATTTAGAGATATTAAATACTGATTAAAAGCACCATTGCTAGGTTTATATTAGAAATGATGAAAATAGTTAATCTTCACTCATACTTAAATGTTACCCAGAGGCACCAGGTTGAATGTGATAGAGAGAGGTTCTTTGATTTAATCTTCATCTTCTACCTGATACAAAACTTTCCCTAAGTTAGTGCCTCCACCTGTTCAGGAGAGAGCACAGGTTAGCAGGGTTTGCTATATCCACTCTCAGCTAGTATTCAGTGTGTGTTCCTAAATCTCAGTGAGTACAGTGCTCATTTCCCCTGGGTCTGGATCATCTTACTCCAGCCACTGTCTCCTAATTACATGAGGAAGCTACTCTTTCTCTTTTGCACAATGCGTTGTTGAAAGACACCCAAACAGGATTTACACTGGGAATGTCTTCATACTACCCATCATCGTGTGCTGCTCAAGCTGTTGGGAGCCAAAATAAGGTCAGAATCTGTGGGGAAAAGATCTCTCAAATAAGATTTGACACCAGGCACATGTGCCACCCGAGTTCAATAATTCTGCTTGGATTACTCTAATGACACTTGCCAATGGCTTCTAATGCTACATTTGTGCACATGTAAAATCTTCTTAATTTAAGATGCTTGAAAGTCTTGATGATATTTTCAATATCTTTATAATTATCTTCTCTGCCTCTTATCCAAAAGTAACCTGGCACTTGGCCCGGAACTTTTCCCAAAGTGGATGCTTAATATACATTGATGAAAGACTCAGTTAGCAGATCATTTCTCCACCTTCTCCTGTCCTCGTCCCAAGAGCATGTTGGTCATTGACCTGTGTCAATGGGCAATTCTGAGGCCACAGAGTTGCCATGGATTGGTTAGAAATTTCCTTGGCCGCCTACTTTTGCCATGCGCGTTCAGAAAGTCCTCTTTTTGGCTATCCTCTCCCCGTCTCCCTTGCATTTCACACCTTCTCCAATAATCCATCATGTAGAAATCTCTGAACTGGATAAGAACATGGCCATGTGTTGTTTTTCCATGTGCACTTTCAAAATTTATTCCCTCAGAAAATGTTATTATATTTTTGGTACTTGATGTAACTGAGGAAAAGGCTGAATTTTGAGAACTCTAGCTTTGAGGGGAGGAAAACGCTAGTGGTCTGCCTCTTCAAAAAGCGCCGGAGATTGATTTTGATTTTTTTTTTTCAAGTTGAGACAAAATCTAATTTTAGTCAGGTTAAGTTGTTTAGGGCCTTGCTAAATTGCTGAGGCTGGCTTTGAACTTGTGATCCTCCTGCCTCAGCCTCCTGAGTGACTGGGATGACAGGTGTGCACCCCTGTGCCTGGCCTATTCATTTTCTTGAGCAGGTTTGACACTGTGTGATTTGGTCTGAGTCTTGCCATGTCACTTGCTCTACCAGGCAATTTTCTAAATCTGGCTGCCTTTCTTTCCCCCCCCCCCCCCTTTTAGCTTGTTTGGTAAGCAGTTTCTAGAGTACTTTCCTCTCCTGCTGAACAGCAGTAATCCTTTCTTTGGCCTCTGGCTTGCTTCCCACAGGGCAGGTGGTGGAGACTCTCCCAGCTGCTGTAAAACAGCCTGGTGTGTTAAGAACTCTGTGGAGATGTGAGGAGGAAGCCTGGATCTAAGGGGTTTAGCAGAAGCTAGGAGAGATGGGGGGCGGCCACAGGGGAATCAGCTGAAGCAATCCTGTCCCTAGAAAATGTGCTACAAGCCAGGGAAATCAGAGATGGGCTGAGTTTAAGGCCTCATGAGAGGGCCACCCCAGTGAAAAGCTGGGCCTCCTGGGAGACGCCTCTGCTCACAGGGCAGGCAGCAAGCAGCACTTACCACTGGCATCCCAGCAGGTCTAGACAAGTCCCGAGATCTTTCCTGGAGTGAGGAAAATGCAGGGCTTTGGGCTGACTCCAGGTTATTTGGGAGCCTTATGTCGGGTTTGTTAGAGCCAGGATCTGGGGAGTCTGCTTCATCTGTGACCTCCCGGTACTCTCCTCTCAAATGTGTTTTCTAAAGACTTGTTGGCCTTTCCCTTGTTCTCTCCCCACAAATCACCTCATGAAAGGTAGGAGGAAGGACCATTAATTCCCTTTGCTTCCTTTTTACTAATTTGATCCAAGCACCTATCATGTCACTGAAGAAAGAAAATGGCAAGTGGTAATGCCCTAGTGTTGAGGCCCATTGAAGGGAGGAGCGAGGAGAGGGCGGCCCACGCTGCCCGTCCATGAGGTTAAGAGAAGTAATTTATGTTTGTGAGGAAAGAAATGAATGTTGAATTCTGTGGCCTGTTCCCTTCAAAGTAGAGGATGTAATTATAATATGCTGTGAACATACCCGGATATTTAGCATGCTGGATTTATAACTTCATAACAGGAACAAATTATATGAAAAAAAATTATTTTTATTCTGTCAGAAAGCCAAAGTAAAAGCTTTATGACCTTATCTTTCTTTTGGACTTATGCAAACAGCTAAGCTAACTTATTAGTTGACTATGCAGAAGAATATATTTAAGATGTTGTCTGCGGAATTTGCTTTTGCCCATGTCAAAGTCTGATATTTTCAAATGGATATTAGCGAGGTTAAGATGGCACAGCTAAATCTGGGTCTTGGGGGAGCCTTGCTTTGTGCATCTGTTATTCCTTGATTTTATAAAGCTCTTTGCTACCACAGTGTTTGTTAAAAATAATGCTCTTGTATGGGCTGGGGTTGTAGCTCAGTGGAAGAGCACTTGCCTAGCATGTGTGAGGCATTGGGTTTGATTCTCAGCACCACATGCAAATAAATTAAATAAAGGTTCACCAACAACTAAAAAATATTTTTAAAATAATGCTCTTGTAAATGGATATGGAGAATACTATAAAATTATTTATATGTGTATAAGTAAAATTCAACATGTGTGGAACTCCTTGATCTTTAGGTTGGCTGCTTTTCATGCATTATCAATCCTTGGAACACTCTGGGAAGGTGTTTCTCTTCCAGGGATAGGTGTAGGAGACAAACTTGGAAGGAACATATGTGACCTATTTTCTCAAGAGATAAGAGAGTCATTCTATCACTCTGCAGACTTCCGTATCACCAACTGAAGCTGTTTTTGTAGCTGTGACATCAAGGAGTTTCCCTACYACATGTTCTTTGTTATTCCCAGTATTCTTAAGCTTATTGTGAAGGGAGAATCCATTGCTTAGTTTTGTGTCTCCTGAGTTAAATAATAGATTCACATGATCATAGAGCTCAAAAGTACTGAAGGGATTCACTAACATAGCCCTCTCATTTTACAGATGAAAAGGCTTRATGATTGACAGGTTGTTATTATAGTTAATTTTTTGGTCTCCGTCTGAACGGTGGTGTGATTACAAGTGTTTAAAAACAACAGTGCTTTTCAGTAGTAACAGAAACAAGCTCTGTTTTAATGAACTGAAATGTCTAGATGTTTAGAATTAGCCTCTTAACTTTTAATAAAATAGAGTAGTTCACTTCAAGTGCTTTTAAACAGCCTTCAAATTTGACTTTATTTAAGTTATCTAAATGAATAATTAGATATTTTAAACAGTAATTTGCTTTGTGGTGACAAAAATAAGAATATTTTATTGGTGAAAATTTAGAAAATAGAAGTGTAAGCAGAAAAAAGGTCACAAATACTCTGTCACAAATACCCCAATACTCTGAAAAAACACCATTAATATTGTCTCAGGGTTTTTTGGCAGGAGCTGACAGTGGACATAGATAATACATATAGATCTATTTGTTTGTTTTGGGGTACTGGGTATTGAACCCAGGAGCGCTCTCTCAGCGAACTATTACCGCAACTTCCCCACCCACCCTTCATTTATTTATTTATTTATTTATTAAGACAGGGTCTTGCTAAGTGGTTTAGGGCCATGCTAAGTTGCTAAGGTGGGCTTTGAACTTGAGATCCTCCTGCCTCAGTCTCCCAAGTCGCTAGGGTAATAGCTGTGTGCCACTGGGCTCAGTTTAGATACATGGTTTAACATAACTGGATTTATGCTGTGTATATGGTTTATGTCCTTTTTACATTGTATTGTAAATAATTCCCTAGGATACCCTTGGAGAACATTATTCCCTATTATTAAGCATTTGGGTAGCTTTTTAGTTTTCACTAAAATATTTCCAATTTCACTATGAAAAACGAGATGGAATTCCTTGTATGTAAGCCTTTCTTTGTGTATTGTTGATCATTTTGTTCAGATAACTTAAAAAGCACAATTTGAAGGTTGAAGCACTAAAGACTTTGGGTGTTGAAGCTGTGATGCCTGTCAKCATTAACATTCCATTTTAAATGTCTGCATCTAGCCACGGGCCCAGTGGGCATCACACAGACCATGCAGCCTCCTTTCTAGTGTGACCACCTGGCTGAGGCCTACCTGCATACATATTCCAGGTGTAAGACAGGGCTCTGTGGGCAAATCCCATTTCACTGCAGCTTCATCAGCAGTAGATACTATGAATTTAAAGCTCCTCCCATATCTGATCTTAACAAATGTCATCCAGTTTTTATTTTAATTCATAAAGTTGAACATTCATAAGCTTTTTGGCATTATTGGGAATATTCATCTTTCTTATTGCTTGTAAGTGCTTTTATACATTATGGTTAATTTTTTTAAATCAGTTTATCATTGGCTTTTCATTTGTTTATGTTTTTTGACAGATTTAAAATTTTTAATTCATCAGAGCCTATTAAGTTTTATTTTATAAGTTTTTCCTTTGTTTTATACTTAGGATTTTCTATGTATGAATGTCAAAGGTCAGTGGCACTTTGTCTTTTATTAGCCTATAATTTGTGAACTTGAGTATTTATATGCTGTGCTAAATTTGAAGTTTTATATGTAATTATAGCAGAAGTAAAAATTGATGGGAGATGACTTGGCCTTTGTATCCATCTCTATCGCCACTACTCATAATCAGCACAAAAGTATAAAAACAGGAGGAAGACCCTGAACTCATGCAGTAGAAAGAGGGGAGATGATTGAGCAACTTCTTTTTTATTTTTGAATATTTAATTGACAAATAAAAATGGATCACACATCCTGTCTGATGATTTGATACACATACACATTGTTGGATGATACCACAAATTAATGCATCTGTTATTACATATGCCAAAACTCATTCATCTTGTAACTGCATATTTGTGCTCTTTGGCCAACGACTCCCCTGGCAGCCTTGACTGTGTCTTGAGTGAATGCCTGTGCTTGCCCATCCCTTGCGGCTCTCTGACAGTCTTCCTCATTGAAACTTTGTAGGAAACAAAGGAAGGGGACATCCTACCATTTCATGTTTATAGTCAAGGAAGCTGAGATTAATGAAAATTAAGCCACTTACCCCTGCTCCCAAGGCAGAAAGGGTTGAATTAACCTGAAAATTTGCAGATGGTCAAGGAAATCCTTGGTTTCTGAGAGAGTGCACATGCATTATTTTCCTCTTGCACTCCCAATAAGTCTCTCTAGAGGAGAATAATTATGATAGTAAGATAAGGGCTGGATTCCCAAATCATTGGATGATCACAACTACCTGTTACTATTATTGTTACAATAATATCCAGGTTTCTAATAATTTTATAACATTAGATTTGGCATTGCTTGCAACCTGGCAACAATTTGCAKAATAAAAGAATACTGACTTGTTCAGGTAAGATGGCTGCTTTGTGTTTGAGAAAAATGAAAAACTATTCTGGATGCTAGTTTGAAGGGACACAAGAGGATAATTATTTTCATGTTTCTCAATGACACTTGTAGTTGTAAACCCCAGATTGTATTTAGGTGGTGGAGTGTCTAGAATGTGTGATATTTTAATAAAAGTCCATATACGATTTGTGCTGAATTGGACATTAGTCAGATGCTACCTGTGAGACAAAGGAGAGTGGTTTCAGAAAACATTGCAGGTGGAAAAGTTCATTAAACTACTTTTTTTCCTCTATCTTGGGAAAGGCCACCAGTATTCCATTCTGCGGTCAAGAATATATATTTTGGCAGCTATTTCCCTAATTAGTGGCATGTTTGTAACTTTTTACATGCTGGTTTATTCTGCATCACATTGACAGTGACTCCTATAGATACTTTAGGCACTTAGTAATATCACAGGATAGCTCAAAGCCTGGATCTCTTAGATCCCAGACAAAATGCTTTGAGAGCATGGTATTTCCAGCATTAAGTGGCTTAGGAGCATTCTGCATGTGTGGATAGACACATTCACTGGGAGTGTCTCTTCTGTACAGTTTTTGGGAGACCTGGATGGAGCAGGAACCTCTTCTTGACTATCACACCTTCCCCAAGATTATAAGGTCATTGGAACAGGAGGGGGGGATAAATATGGATGAAAAGTAAAATTAAAGAAAGGAAAAAGAGCAAGAGCTATTGAAAATGACTGTGGATATAGCTCACTGGTAAAGCATGTGCTTAGCATTTGTGAGGTACTGGGTTCAGTCTCCAATACCATCAAAAAACCATAAACAAGATAGGCAGGGAGTGGTGGAGTATGCATGTAGTTCCAGATACTTGGGAGGCTGAGGCAGGAGAATTGATTGAAGCCAAGAATTTGAGACCAGTGTGGAAAACATAGTGAGATCCCATCTTAAAAAAAAAAAAAAGTGACAGAACCATCACATACACACACACACACACACACACACACACACACACACACACATACCAAAAAAAAAAAAAAACATAGTAAATGTGTGTATATTTTACTTGGGGTTTTATAGAATTTTTTAATGATGGTATTCAGATCGTTTTTATTTTCTTCTTATGTTTTTCTGAAACTTTCAAATATAAAATCTTAGTGATAATAGAACAAAAGTCTATATTTAAACTGGTCTCCAACTTGGAAAATTGCAAACCTTGGTCTCAACTTTTCAAGCCTTCTTCCACCTTTCCTGAGCTTCATCCTCAGTTTGTATAAGGGAAGGTTTGTTTCTGTTTGGCTAATGAGGCTTATATTCTGGAACTAACCTTCTGATTCTTCTTTTCTCCCTTGATTTACAGCATGGAACAGAGTGGGCCTCTTCCCCATGTAGTGTGTGCTCTTGCACTCATGGGGAAGTAAGGTGCACCCCCCAGCCATGCCCACGCTTGTCATGTGGACCCCAGGAGCTGGAATTCATCCCTGAAGGGAGCTGCTGCCCAATCTGYGTGGGCCCTGRGAGTGAGTATGGGCTTGTGGAAAGGAACCTTTGCCTTTGAGGTTATATGGTGGCACCCAGACTCTTGTCTCCTTGTCCTGTGTGGCTCAAAAATCTCTAACTCATGCCTTATTGGAACCCAGTTGAAACCTTGCACTTGGTAGGGAGAGAGGTATCAGAGAGTGTGATGGGAAAAAAATCCTTAAATTCCATTCCCAGTTTAGGATTCTGCTAGTCTCTGATTGATTGATTGATTGATTGATTGATTGATTTTTGCCTTGGCCAGATGCCTCACTCAGCTTTTACAGCTCCCAAGAGGAAAAGGGAGGAGGGGGACTATCTTTTGATATGATTCCACAAGGCCAACATAGTTCCTCCTGCCCCTTGGTGGAGAGAACAAGCAAATCTCTTCTCCATATCATATTGCTAGCACTAATTCTGTCAACTGGCCTTTGAGATGACACAATATCTTTCTCTCAGACATTCTCAACAAAAAGAAGTTTTTTTGTTAGCCTTTACTGCATCCTCACTGAAGGGATTAATCCTGTTACAAACTGAGGCRTCCAACTTTTGCTCAGCAAGCCAAGATCAGGCTCCAGGCCCTCTGGTTAGAATCTGTGCTTGGTCCATGTACCCCTTTTATTGTACTAAAATAACATGTCTCTTCCGTTTATACGACTAAATAGAATAGTCTTTATGATAAACATAAATTASTGTCATTGCTGCATGATGCCTTCTTGTGACTTATAATAGCTGGAATACCTCTTTTATTCAGTAGCATCTGCAGCCTATACTCTGTTCTTGCCCTTTCACTTTAAAAAGATCCCTGATTTCTTTCCCATACCAYTTGTTCTATACCTGGCAACCCATTTCTCTGGAGAACTGTTCCAAGTATTACAAAGTGTGCTCAGGAAATGATGAGTAGAATACTTGCCTGAGCATTTCAGTCATCACCCGCCAGAAAAGGATTGGCAGTGGTTTTGGAGCCAAGTGACCCAGCAAGTGAAAATGCATGAACAACGGAGTCCAGTGGTATGGAAGGTGCTGTCTGAGTTTSTGGGATTCTCTCTTAGGTCTTAAGGGGCTTTCTCATGGGCCCTCCATGAGAAAGATATTGGAAGCATTTTTTTCCTTGAGAAATTGGAGGATCACCCAGCCCCCACTACCTAATTTATAAAATTCCAGACTCCTTTATTTAAAAAGCAGGGGGAAATGCTTTTTCTTTGTCTCTGTGGTCTCCAGGTCTCTCTCTCTCTTTCCATCTGGCATGTTTTTTATTTGCTATTTAATGTTATACTCCTTGGGGCCTGGGGATACTTGATTGGTGAGTGAAGACTCTCCTAGGCACCCTGGGCCCCATCCTATGACTTGGTGCATAGGGCACATGCAGCTTCCTGGAACCCACACCATGGTCCCCACTGGAGGGGGGAAGTCTTCATTGGGCTGGGGTTGGGGACCAGGCAGCTGAGAGCCCAAYCCAGGAAGCCAGTAGGAGGTGGGACCATGCATGGGCTGAGGCGTCATGTTCCCTCCTTCACTTACAAAACACACACTAAGAGATTTCAAGGTAGCAGTGACTKCGGAGCTTTAAGTCCTAAGAGCCTCCTGCTGTGCACTCTGAACCAGACCATAGGGCTCACCTGTGCCTTTAGCACTGAGATCAGCACACACCRTTCTTCCACTAATGCTGACTCCTTCGACCTTCCAGAACCCTGTTCCTATGAAGGCCGTGTGTTTGAGGATGGGGAGGACTGGAGGCTGAGCCAGTGTGCCAAGTGTGTGTGCAGAAATGGAGTCGTGCAGTGCTTCGCGGCTCAGTGCCTGCCTCTGTTTTGTAACCAGGTAAGGGAGATACCTCTGGGTAGATTTGTCCAGGCTGYTAACTTCCTGTTCAAAATCTTGGAGTCTCTTCTGAGATTATGTTAGGCAGCCTCCAGAGCACTAGAGACATGAAGCAAGAATTGCTTTGTTTTCCTTATACTTTYGGAGACTCCCTCCAAGACATTTCTTTTCCCCTTAGAAGCTACAGATAGGTCTAATTACCAGCCATTTAGGCTAATTGTTACATAATGAAATTGAGCCTTGAGGGTACACACAAGGAAGCCTCCAGCTTGAATTACAGATGTTCCAACAATGTCAAGCTAAACATCTGGAAAATTTCGTAATACAATCGGGTTTGTTATTGTTTTTCAGTGTATAGGTGTAGTCTGCTTTTTAAAGACACATACATGTCTTTGAGCATGATTATCCAGATGTACATGATTTAATTCTTACAGGATAATGATTCAGATTATCKAAGGATTTTCTCTAGAGGTATTTAAGAGAGTGGGATACTGTTCTTCATTTAAAGCTGGTCTGATTTTCAAAACGTTAGGCACTTCACACAAATTTGGAAGAGAAAATCAATTGAAAACAAATGTGGTATACATGGTATTTTATAGGATTTTTTTTTTTTTTTTTGCTCTTCCAGAGGCTTCTATGGATGTTCTGTGACAGTTGACAGATAACCATGAAAAGAGTTTTGCCTCCAGTCGAAAATTGCTCATTTTTGATCTAAGGAAAAGCTGGAAGCCAACATTCAGTTGATACAGAGCAGTACTTTGTGTCAAATAAAACAAAATCAATAACATGGCATCTTGTGACAATTGGGCAATATTTTTAAAGGCAGACAAAAGGCAATTAGACATGAAATGCTAAATGTCAAATGGAGGGAAAAACGTATCTAATTGAAGGACTAGATTGTATTGCCCACACTATACCAGCTCCCTGATCACTCTCATCTCCCRATTCATCACCAGGTCTTGTCCCAGCTTTAAGATTACAAATGAGCCACTGATTGAGTTGCATAGTATCTCCCTCTTCTGCTCTTACATCTGGAGGACATTGTCACCTCATGGCTCTTTGATAGCACATTTGGGGTGTAGTGCYCTTGTGTAGGAAGGGTCATGAAGCAATTTACCACCATTTCAGTAAGTGAGGTGGGAGTAGTAATGGAGGAAACACTCCATGGAGGACTTTCTGCCTTAATTCTTCAAAAACTCAACCACATACTGCCTATTTGGTGGGGGCAGATATATTACTATTTCTAATTTTAAGAAACATTAAACATAAGCTCTTGCTTCATGCATAGTATTCACTTACAGTTCGCATCAATATGATAATGTGAGATGACAAAATTTGGTATCATACTTTAGAGCTAAATGATATACAGGCCCTCTGAAGAATTGGAAATAGATTGATTTCAATCACTCTTGCATGAAGTCTGTGTTTTTACCATGACATTAAAAAAAATTCAACTGTCAGATCACTTAGAACCACTTTTCTTGATTTAATGTTGCTATTAAATGTTGAATGTTCCGATAATATAAAGGGATACTATAGAATTGGTGTTACTGATGTAGCACATCACCCCACCACTACTATCACAACCACCATTAGCACCACCAGCACACTTTGGGTAATTTATATGTACCAGTCATTGATATTTAAGACCTGTGTAATTTTCATTATCGCTCTATAAGGCAGGAGCTTTTATTATCATCCTCATTTTATATTTGATAAAACTGAGATTTGGGAGGGAGTAAGTGACTTGCTCAAGGTCCCGYAGTTAGGAAGTGACAGCACTTCTCTCCTTTGTACTTGTACATTACAACCTCAGAAAACCATGTTGACTCCTATTTCTAACCATTATGCTATCTTGCCTTCCTAAATGAGGAGTTACCAGCACTTACATATAATAATTATCACAATATTTGCTAACATCAATGAGCATTTTTTACAAGTATTTTGTATGCATGAGTTCATTAAATATAAGGAAAACACTAGTTTTCCAGTAGAAATGTTATTTCTCAGGGCTTATGCTCTGGAAAAATACCCAACTTGTCTTCAGGGATTGYCATGATTTTTACTACAATGGTTTTGGGGTTTTATAATTATAAAAGGAATGCATATTCATTAAGGAAAGTTGGGAAACCAGAAAGAAAATTATCACCCATATTTCCTCCATTCAAAAAGACTAGGACAGATTTTTTTTTGTGGTAATTYATTTTAGTCTTTTTTAAGGAAAATGCGGATGTTTATTTGCACGGTTATAATTACATTCTAAAAGTTGGTGATAATCCCTAACAAAAGAAGAAATTCCTTATGTTCACATAAGGGTTATTCCCTTAATGAGGGATTAAATTCATACTGATATTGCAGGCTTTCAACTTTTGTCCAGATGCCTTGTGAACTGAGCCATAAGTCCTTCACATTTTTGTAGTCTCACTAAAATGATCTGTTCAAACTACTGAGAGCTGTTTCTAATGATATTCCCACTAGTCTTATTAATACCACATTTTCCCTATTCCTAATATTGATTATCTGAGTAGTTCGAACTTCATCTTTGGATATGTTTTCAAGAAAGAGATGATTGGTGAATCTTTTGATTCTCTAAGTATTTAACAGTTATTTCTCATTGCCTGTATGCATGAAGGACAGCTGTAGGGGCTATAGTCTACAGCTGTCCTGTATAGACTTTATAGACTCCTTTCCATTAAATTTCAGAATTTAGCTTCAGAGAGAAGTCTGAGATCTGTCTCCTTTCTATTCCATTATAAGAAGCTAGTTTTACTCTGTTGTATCCTTATAGGATGTTTCTTTATAATTAAAACATATTTCAAGATAGTTCTAGATGAAGTACTATTTCAGAAAAACCCAATCCCATATGTGAGAACTAGCAGCCAAAGATAGAAGGTGCCATGTCACTGGGGTGGGGGTGGGGTAGAAGGATGTGGACAAATCCAGGGTTTCACAAGGTAAAATGTATTGCTGATTTACAGATAAAAGTGTATCTAGGGCAGTTACAAGACAGGGGAATCCCCACACCCAGAACAGGAAGTGGAAAGGTGTTCATATGCTAAGCTAGACAAGTGTGGGCCACAGTCAACCAGAATGCACCTGGCCTTTCTCCAAACCTCTTCACAGTCCAGTGTCAGTTAAGAAATACCCCAGCCATCAGTGGCTGGCACACCATGGCTGTTCTGTGGCAGTTGACAGATAACCATGAAAAGAGTTTTGCCTCCAGTTTATATTGACAAATATCTTAAGGACTATGGGGATTGGGATGTGTGCCAGGGTCACCTGGTAGACAAAATGGCAGAGGACCAAGATAGCTATCGCAGGGTCAAGCAAGATCCCTAGGAATGTCYTTTCACATACTTTGCCTACAGAACCCGTCAGACTGTGTTCCAGTTTTTGAAATGTGTTTTTTTCAGTTTGGTATGGATGAATGGCATCTGTTCTAATTATTCACATTTTTTTCCAGAAACATCTATGACACTTAGTTTTTTCACCACCTCCTCCTCTTTATCAATCATGTTCTCTCATCATTTTTCACTTTGTGTCTTTCCTTAGCATATGGGGAGAATTTCTCAAGTTTATATTTATTATCTCCAGTATTGATTTTTAACTTGACACATTTGCTTTACACATTTTTCTTTTAATTCTTCCTCAGTGTGGTCTTTCTTTTATTGCTTCCTGCTTCTGTTTGCTAACAGACTGCATATTTCTACATCTTACTCCACTTACAAAATGGCTCTGAAGGGTTTCCTTTTAGATCCTGTAGTAGTGTTCAGAAGTCTGTTCTTTAACTGCATCTTCAGAGTTACTCCTTTCTCTTGATGGGGTTTAGGTCATGGTATCCACAAATATGGCAGCTTGGCATCCTGAATATTTTAAGATGAAGGCATTTGAGAAAATGGCAGAAACTTAAAGGTTACTTTCACCTTTTCCCCATCCTTCTCCCCTGAAGCAGGTCATAAAACCTGGAAAGGATTTTCTGACCTTCCCCTAAAGCAGGTTGTAAGGCCCTCAGGTGAGASGTACCCTCCCTGCTCCTGGAGAAAAGGATCATCTTTGTCGCTATAGACAGAAGAATCTCAACAGGCCTTGCTGCATTTTCTTGGTTATTGCTATTTAGTCATACTCTTTGCCCTGTTATATTTCTCCATGACTGTTATTCTTCATCAAACCTACTGTTGAAAAAAAGAGGTTATTTTCTTATGAAGGTTATTTCCTTATGATGGGTCCTATATCAGGTAAAACTTATGTTAAATAAAGTGGGATGCTTTTCCCTTGTTAATAGTTTTTTTGTTATAGGAGCCTTAATCATGAATCCAAAATGAGTAGAGGGAAGATATTTCCCCTTCACTACTGCTCATTCATCCCTTCCTCCTACTGACTTAGAAAACATAGAAAGAAATGAAAAGGTCCTGTCTACACAGTTTTGACCAAGAGGAATCTGTCCATTGCTTAAAAGTACAAGGCAAAGTAGACTGTCCTTAGTTCATTCCCTTTCTTGGATCCATGGCCAGAAACTATGTCTCAGTCCCAGGGTCTGACAGGTTTCCCCTCTCAATCCTCCTGCATTAGCCTCCCCGCATCCCTTTATTTTTCTGTGATTGTACTTCTTTACATTTGGGGTGCCCTCCGCCCCCTACTTCCCCAACACACGTTTCCCACTCATTTTATTGTTCTTGACATTATGGGCTTGGACTAGATGTGAAAAGATATTGAGGGAAGTGAAAAGCCAGAGTTGGCACTGACTGCCTCAAATAGCACACAGTGGAGGAATGAAGGCCTAGAAAGGCAAAAAGTTGAGAAGAGATGATGTTTGTTTGTTTGTTTGTTTATTTATTTATTTATTTCAGGGATTGAACTCAGAGGCACTCGACCACTGAGCCACATCCCCAGCCCTATTTGTATTTTATATAGAGACAGGATCTCACTGAGTTGCTTACTGAGTTGCTTACCCTGCCTTGCTTTTGCTGAGGCTGGCTTTGAACACAAGATCCTCCTGCCTCAGCCTCCTGAGCCTCTGGAATTCCAGGCATGTGCTGCCATGCCCGGCTGATGTTTCTTATTTGTACTTTGAATCTCAGTCAAAAAAACCAAAATAAACAAACAAACAAACAAACAAAAACAAAAACATGCCATACAACATCTACAGGTTTTTCTTGGCAATGGCAGGAGGATGACTATGAGTTCTTAGTGATGGAGTTTTCATTTCTTTCTATATTTTCTAAGTCACTATAGTGGGAAGATATTTGGTCAAGAACTATCATTCTAAGCACACTATAAATTTCTCTATCATAATTATTTTTAAGGAATATTAAAAATTATAATTGAATATATCCTCACTGGTAGTCCCATCCCAAATTTTAATGGCATTAGTTATATTTTTTTGTATTGAGCCCTTGTGAGAACTCATATTAGTATGATATTAGATTTGGAGCAAACATTTTCTGTAAAGAATCAGATACTGAATATTTTCAGTTTTGAGTACCATCAAGTTGGAATAACTACTTAGTTCCACAATTGTAACACAAAACCATAGAACCTATATAAATGGATGGATGTTAAAACTTTAAAGAAAACATCATTTGCAAAAACAGGCGATGAGCTAGATTTGACCCACAGTCCATAGTTTGCTGCATTAGACTGTACATTTGGAAGGGCACAGGTAGGTAGGCTAGAAAAAGTATTAAAGTATATGATAGCTACAAAAGTGTACTGTTAGAAAACCTTGACTGTAATTGTGTCTATTCCAAGTTGATAAGGATGAATCAATACTAACTTTAAGCCTATTCAAAATTTATAATCATGACATTTGTTTCCTGTTTGTCTAACATTGTAGAAGGCTTTGTTCATTTTTTACTGCAATAAAATTACTAAATAAAGTATGACATCAAAATACTTTTATTTTACTTCCTTACCAAAATCCCATCAAGTTGAAAAAAAAATGTTATCTGAAGTCAAGAAGTGCTCAATTATTTCAGTGCCTGTTCAGCTTTCACATCCTCTATTAGACATCAGTGGTCAAATTGCTTTTTGTATAGAATAATACAAAAATAAACTACCTTAAAACAACAAAAAATAGTTGTTGGTTTAAATCTAGTGGTTGAGGCATTTGAAATGAATCCCTATTAGGTAGTAATGCATGAGTCCATCTGGTTATATAAACCGGGTTAAAGGACTACTGAGGTATGACTGGAATTTTCCATGAAAAATTAAGGTTTTGTGACCTCTATCCCAAGTGTACTGGCTTTCCTGTTCTGGCAAAATGTGTACACAAGTAACTGATAGCACTGAGTCTCAGCTTCTGCTTCTCATAAGAGAAAGTGAAGTCAGYTGTTCTGGATGTATCTTCTGTCCAAGACCCACTACTTCTGGTTTGTCCTCACTCCTCTTCTCCTACTTTTAGCAAGTCTACCTTCCTGCAAGAGAAGAAGGCTGTAGTGATAATTCAGAGCAAGTAACTGACTCTTTGGCACTAATGAGAAAATGCTTACTATGAAAATTCTTTTAGGGCAGAAGAGACAAATGGTCTGATATTCTGGGGGCAGGGTAATCCAGGTGAGAATATAGGGATAGTGTACTGTGGGGTGGGTTGTTTGGGGGTTGAAACTCTCTTCCCCACATTGCTCTGCAYTCGTCTATTTTCAGATTTCTGGAAGTATGACCAATTCTTGCTCATGTTAAGGACCTTCCTAATGCACATATATATTAATATGTGGATTTATATACAGATGCCAAAGAATGGTGAAGTAGTTGATCAAGGAATGGTTACCTCCACTTTTGAGTTTAGAGGTCACTTAGGAAGACTRTGAGTTCCCTTAAGTGTTGGCAAGGTTGTGCTCTAAATTCTGTTCCAACCATATGCCATTACTAGGTCAGCTGTATAACTTTGGGCAAGTCACACAACCTTTCTGCTCCTTACTATTCTCATTTGTGAAGAAGGAATAAGAACATCTACTTCCTAGGGTCATGTAAAGCACTTAAAACAGTGCCTAGAAGAAAACCAAGTGCCATTGTTATTTTTGTTCTTATTTGTTCTTAGAAGGGAACAGGACTTGAGGCATATATAAACTTTTTAAARATTCACACTGACCTTGGAAGTGCTAATTCCTATCAGAGCCCCAGGTGACTAATAAGTGCTAAATGAGAGGAAATTGCTATAATGGATGCTGAGGCACATGGTAGAATTGGCTGTGAGCGAAATCTTCCTATCAATGTGGATTTTATTAGTATCTCCTTTTGATGGATTATTCTTTCTTTTGGTGTTAAGGATGAAATTATAGTCCGAGACCCTGGAAATTGCTGTCCCCAATGCTCTGCACAGTCCTGCTCTGTAGCTGGCCAAGTCCACAAGGTAAGCTTTGATGCCCATGTATGTAGGTGTTTTGACACGCATTCTCACACGTCTACCCTGCACCCGCCAACCACCACGCCTCCCCGCCCTCASATCTGACTCTTTGCCAGGATTAGTAACTCAGTACATAAACGACTTTCTTCTTCTCTTCATGGAAAGCCTTTATGAAAAAAATTAAGTTGAAGGGGATTAGAAATATAAAGGAATGTGCTGGCAAGCAGTACCTGGTTTGTGAACCTTGGTGAACTTACTGTTCATACATCTTGAAGGGGTAAAAAGGACTATCGTTGGTCACCATCAGGTTACACCAAGATTTCAGGCTCTGGGAATGTCTGTCTGCAGACACTGGCTGGATTTTATCCACTGATATTCAGAGACTACCTCCCCACCACCTACCCTGGGAGGAAACATGGGAGCAGCAGAGGCAGGCAAGAGGCTGAGAGTAGTGGAAACCGCAATTATGAAGATACTTTTGGAATAATCTAGACACCTGTGTCTAACCTACAGTGGGTACTACATAAAGATGAGTTCAACAGATTGAAAGATGGTGTGAATGTTCTGTCTTAGAAGTGCCTGAGTCAAAAGAATGTTACATTGTTCTAAACAGAAACAGGAATTATGGCCGTCAATAGAGAATCTGGAACTAAGTATTTGGGAATAAAAGTTTCACAAATTCTAGAAGTGTCTCTTGAAATATGAATGCAAGAAGCTAACTGGGATAACTTCTGTATGTGCTGAATATGCACTGTCAGACACAGTAGRCATGCATATATGCAGCTTTTGTGATATTCTTATCTACTGTAGACAGGTATCTGTCACAGTATTTGTATTTGTTATGACATTTTTGGCTGCAAGTAACAGAAATGCCCCTCTAACTGTGGCTAAAATTTTAACCTCTGTTATCTCATTTAACAAGAAGTCCAGAGGGGGTTGGGGCTGTAGATCAATGGTAGAGCGCTTGCCTCACAAGTGCGAGGCACTGGGTTTGATCCTCAGCACCACATAAAAATAAATAAATAAAGATATTGTGTCCATCTACAACTAAAAACAATATTAAAAAAAAAAGAAGTTCAGAGTAGGCCAACTGCAGGGTTGAATGATTCAGGTCTCAGCGATATCTTCACATTGCCATTTACCTTCATCTTGTCCCCTCCAGTCCCCAAGGTGGCTTCCTTTGCAGGCAGCTCATCCTCACATGATCATGGCACAAATTGGTGGAGAAAGGGGTAGGAGGGTAACCTCTCCCTTGACCTCTACCACTTAGCAAACTTAATTATAAGGTCTTCTTGGGTAGAAATGTCTGTGCCTTAGCTGCAAGGGAAGCTGAGAAAATGGGCATATGGCAGTGAGAGGTGGATCTCCTGGAAAAGAAGACCTAAAGAATGTCCACAGGGGAGACAACCAACTGGGCCTTCCTACTCCCCTGTGTTGCTGAGGCCTCTACATGCCTGACCTGGAGTGGGCCCTCAACATATCTGGAAATCAGTATAGTCAAATGAAAATTCATCTAAAGTTCCCTTTGGATAATTTGGTGTATGTGACATTTGGTGTTCCACTTTCTTTTCTTCTTTCTTCCTCAGCATGGTGAGCAGTGGACTGAAGATGCCTGTACAACGTGTACCTGTGACCAGGGTGAGGTCAGATGTCACACACAGGCCTGCCCACCCCTGAGATGTGAGAAGGTATTTGAGAGTGTGAAGCTTGAATTTTTTAAGTTTGATTCTGGGTCATTTAAGAAATGCATTTCTTAGTGTAGTGTGTCCTTTGAGGGAATCAAGTTTTATAATGTTATGTAAAGATATGAAAGGTCTTTTTCCTAGGAAGGAAGATTGAGGTGGAAGGGAGCTTGCATCCCCTGGGTCAAGTAGTGGGTTGTGTTGTACACATCTGTCTGTGTCTGATGTCCTTCTGCCCTTCGGCTGGGGTTTTCCACTGCCTTCGAGGACTGCTCTTCCCTTGCCATTCTCTGTTTCCTCAGGGTCAGAGCAGGGCTCGGCATCATGGGCAATGCTGTGAGGAATGTGTGTCTCCCTTCGGAAGCTGCACATCTAATGGGATTGTGYGGTACCAGGATGAAATGTGGAAAGGTTCAGCCTGTGAGTTCTGTGTCTGTGACCGTGGGCAGGTAACCTGCCAGACTGGAGAGTGTGCCAAGGTGGARTGTGCCCAGGTAAGAAGCAGAGGGATTCCTCTCTGGGCTGTAGCAGCTCCTTCCGGCGGGATGGGTGGACCTGCGCCAGTTCCTTACTTTTTGGCAGAAGAGGGGACCGTCAGGTTGATTCTCATGTTTCAAGGGGCCTTTTAACACAAAGATGCTGTGGTGTAGAGTGAATGTCACTATTTGTGGAGACTAGCTTTCYGCTCTCTGTGCATCTGGTCAGATTGGAAGCCCTGAGCCAGAGACATGAAAGGCAAGGACATGACATGGGACATCAGCCTATTGGTCAGCAGAGCTGGACCTCATTGCTGGTGGCCTGCCCGGCTCATCAYGCCTGCAAAACAAGGGTCTACAGGTGTGCCCGGGGCTGGGCTTCTGCTGCAGACCCCACTGGCTGCATTTAGCAGAAAGGAGTTCTGGCACCTGGGGACTGCTCATGTGGATGAGGAAAGTAAAGAAAACAGCTTATGTTTTGTTTTCAAGAGAGAGCAAAGGAGACCTCATAAACAATTAACTCTGCTGACCTCCGTTGACTTCTGCTGTCTGCAGAATTTCTAGAAGCTTCTAACAAAGCTGCCCCTGTTTGGACTGTAGATATATATTTTAAGGAAATTACTTTTTTTTCCCTTTGAACTCAATTTTGACCCATGGCAATACAAATTGCTTTGAAAGTCGGCTTCTTCTCCCTGACCGCTCCCATCCGCCCCGCCAGTTTCCCTCAGGGCTGTGAACTTGTGTAGATGAGGGGAAATTGGAAAGATCTGAAGCAGGGGGTGTCAGTGAAGACATTTTTCTTTCTAGTTCCTCTCCCCCATTTCTCAGCTCTTCACAGCACTGAACCTTAGGAGGAACAACCTTTCAAACAAGGCTGTCATTGACAGGGTAATTTTTTACTCTGCCTCCTACTTCTTGGACTTGGCAGAGTGGAAACATTTAGGTAAAGAGGGTCTTGCTAGTTTGCAGATCTATTTTCTGCCCCCCACACCTTTTCATTTCTTTTTCTTTATGTTAGGGAGTCAGAATGGTTGGATGAAGATGAGAAGAAACCTAATAAGGGCCCTTTTCTTTCTCTCTCAGGCTGAGGCAAGGTTTCCTTCCCTTGGCAGCCCTCCTGGGGGATATTGGGTTATTTTCTGAGTTAAATTGTCTAAGATCCCAAGATTTATGGAAAATAGGAAGAGATGACCCTAGTAGGGAGTGTCCTTTAGCCACCTACTTCTTTCAGTGAGCTCTGAACAGAGACAGAGTCTTACTCCTACCTTCTGGTTAGTATGTATCAATGGTAATAAAAAGATGAATAAGACACATTCTAACCTCAAGAGTTCCCAGGCTTTGGGGGAAGTCAGATGTATAAACATAAATACTGCAGCACCAAGGATTATGAAAATATGAATTGAATGCTTTAGGAGCTCCCCGGGGAAATTACTGTCTATCAAGGGAGTAGTGAAAATGCATTACAGTTATTTTTTATTGAATTCTACTCCACTTTCTGCTTCCGTCTCTGAAATATCAAGGTCATTTGATTTCTAATCTTGGACACCAAAGGTGGGTTAAATGTTAGTGTCAGCACATCTAGGAAAAGATGCAGAAGCTTCTAGGAGAGGCCAAATTGTGCAACTTTGCCATTATTATCATTATCACATTTGSTATCAACAGTAATATTTCTGAATAGCATTGAAACCAGCACATGATTTTTATTTGTTAAAATAGGGAAAAAATGGTATGATCTTTGTCTTTGTTATCCAATCAAATCCCTAAACATTGAAACATAAATAAATCAGTGGTAGAAAAATACCACATGATGGATTTCATTTTTCTGTATTTTATAAAGTGTTTGAACATAAATTCAGATAAAGTCAAATTACCTTTTTTTTTTTTTTAAGGACCTACATTCACATCTGAGGCATGATATAGTGGGGGAAATGAAGCTTGTAGAGAAATGCAAGGAAGAGTGTAGGCATGCCTACATGTCAGGAAAATTCCCTCGAAAGAATGTTTACTTTTCCAATGGAAAAGTAAATGAATGGAATCAGATTTGACTTTGGTCTGATGGATGAAGGTGGGRAAAGAGTAGCAGATTCAATCTGACCTATGTAGAAGAATCATCTTGAAAAAGGAAAGAATAAGTTTTGTTTCACAAAACAATTTTGTTCACAGCAAAAGTCAAGTGCTAATTGGAGCCAGCTCTTGCCTCCCCCCTGCAGTGAACTGATGTGGTTTGGGGCCACTGGGCTTCTTCTATAAATAGCAAACCTATTTAGAATGACTACCTCACCMAAACCAAATCCTTGCTCTCCAGGAGCAGGGCCCTTTGGTATTTACYTTAGAGTTGAAAGCTCTGTGTAGCCACCTTCTTGTCTGTGTGTTATGGCGGGCACTCCAGAACTCCTCCTGTGTTTTGTTTTTAATAGGAGTACACAAATGCTGCCTTGTTTCAAAGTATTGTTTTAAGCAACTTAGATTACATGCATATAAACCCCYCTATATACTTTGAAAGCAAATTTCAATCTGTTTCTGAGTGATGCCTTCACTACCAGCTGATTCTTCGAGTTTCTGCAAAACAATTTATATGTAAATATGTCTGATCCCTTTAGCACCCACTGCTCTCTGCTGGCCTCTGATAGGCATGAAATTTTGATGGACAGTCATCTACATAACTTCCTTCTTTTTGAAATAACTTTTTAGGCACTATAAAAAGAAATAATCATTCTCGTCTTTTTATGTTTTTTTGGAAGTTCATATTTTCTTTCATTGAAATAATATATATTCATGCTGGAAATTTTGAAGACAGACTCAAGAAAAATAGAAAAGAGACTTAAAAATCCATGCAACAACCCAAAGACAACCAATGTTATTTCTTTATATTTATCTTTAGTTCAGTGTTCACAAATATAAAATGTCATCATGATTATTTTGTTTATGTAGTTTTTATTTAATATGRCTTCTGTACTTTTAAATATAATATAGACCCCAAATTAAATATTAAATATCTAAAGAAATATCATTCTTTCAAAAATAGATGTATCTTTAAAAAGTAGACCATTCTTTAAAGCATACTCTCTACCCTATAAGTATTTGATATTAGGGTATGCATATGGCAAATTACACTTTGTATTATTAATAGCTGATTCCCTGAAAGATAGGACTACAATGAAATTATACTTTCTAAAGCCATAGAATTCYGAATTACTTAATTTTTAAACAGCAAGCATTTATTATTTTGTCATTAAAATCACAATTTGAAATTATTRATATTGGGGCATTAAAGTGACAAGATTTTGTTAGTCAAACATCTACCCTTTAAGTGTGGCATTTCATTTCTTCATAATTTTTAAAAGTTAGATGTGAGTTGGCTAACAGTACAAGTTTCACAATGCTGAATACAAATCAGTTTATGCCTGAGACTACATCTCTGTGTAAAGAGATCTGTATCTGAGTTTTGTATTCAAAGGAAARCATGTTGCTATGATTTGCCCACTGTTGATGAAACCAGAGTCCTAAGTTCTAATCTTGTGTCTTTAAGGCAACATGATCCTTTCCTGAAACTCACCTTTCCAAGACTGCAACAGGAACCTTGGCCATTCTTTGTATTCATGCTCATACATTGGCAGTTGGGGGTGGGGAGGGCGGGGATCACAGCATAGGCATCAGAGAAGCAGCACTTGGTGCCACAGTACTAGACCTTCCACAGGAAGACAGCACAAGGAGACCAAATAAAGGGTATATCAAGGTTTCTCACTGCAGTCAGGGCATCCAGCTTCTCACAATTTAGCACTGCTRCCTGAACATGCTAATTTGATGTGTGCCACTACAAATCCTATTTCTACAGGGAGAAGAATTAATTCACTTAGATGGAAAATGCTGTCCTGAATGCATTTCTAGGAATGGCCATTGTGTGTATGAAGAAAAGGCAGAATTTGTGAGTATCAGGCTAATAACTCAATATCATTAAAAATTAATCATTTGAAATTAACTTTAGAAGGGGAYCTCCATTACCTTCTAGTTTCCTTTAACCCTTCCTTTGTTCAGGAGATATTTTTCTGTGTGYACCTAGTAGGTGCCAGGCACTGGGATACAGAAGTGAATGCAACAGGCAGAGTCCCTGTTTTCATGGTGGAACATACTATCTAGGGTGGGGACACAGACCCCACCTACCATTACAGGTGCTGATGAGTACTACCTAAAACTATAAAGCAGCCGAAGTAACTGGGCTTGGTTGGGGGAGAGTTTTCTTTTACATAAGATGAGTGGGCAAGTCCTCTCACACAGAGAAATTTGAGCAAAACCTGAAGGAAGTAAGGGAGTGAGCCACCTATATGTGTGGGGGACACACCAGGGATAGGGACCAGCAAGTTCAAAGGCCTTGAGGCAAAAGCATACTTGACATATGTAAGAAGTAGCAAGATGGAATATACCAAGAAGAGAGCAAAGGAGGGTAAAGGAGTTGGAGATGAGGCTTAGAAGGTGGCCTGGAAGCCAGGGTCTTTTACCCTGAAGCAGATGAGAGCTGCTGGCTGGGGTTCAGGGGGAGGGGTTGTTTGAAGTCCAGCAGAGCCATGATCTGACTTAGAAAGGATCAGTTTGGCTGCCATATAGACAACAAGGCTGAAAGTAGGTGGTCCGGTTCGGAGATGTTTGCAGTAGTCCAGATTAGGAGTAACATTGGCTTAGACTCAGGGGAGTGGTGAAAGTGGTCAAAATGGATCAGGCCCTAAATTTATTTTGCAGATAGAAATGACAGGATTTTGATGGGATTGGATGTGGGATGAAACTTCACTTGCTAAAGTTTTATTTCACATCATGTCTGTAATTTGTTAATTATATAACACCAAGGAAAAAATATTAAGTGCTTCAAATTTGACCTATTTTGGGGGGCTGGGTTTGTGGCTCAGCAGCATAGCACTTGTCTTACACATGGGAGGCACTGGGTTTGATCTTCAGCACCACATAAAAATAAATAAATAAAAATAAAGGTACTGTGCCCAACTACGAATATATATATATATATATATATATATATATATATATATATACACACACACACACATACGTGTATATGTATATATGGTGTGTGTGTGTATATATATATATATATATATGTAAGGTATATGTATATTTGTGAGATAAATATATATTTGCGATATATATATATATATATATATATATATATATATATATATATTTGCCTTTATAGCTCAAATTTTCCACATGGGGTTTTAAAATGTTGACAAATTCATCATGTTCTTAAAAACATGTCAATTGATCAAAAGTTCAACTCTTTCATTGACCAATCAGAATAGGATAATAAGAATTAGGATGAAGTGCTTTGACTGGTGAGTGATTGGCWGCTGGATTGCAGCCTGCCAGCCTGCCAGTGTTTCTGTGTGTTCTGGGGAGGCAATGTGGTGTATGAAAACAGGGCAGGCTCTAGATTCTAATCCCTGCTCTTCCACACACCAACTGCGATGTTGGGTAGGTTACTGGGTCCTCACTGTAAGGTAGGGATAACATCAGTACTCACCTGGTGTGGTTATTGAGTGTCCAGTGCTTAAGACAGCACCTGGCATATTGAAAAGAAAAACTGAAAACAATGGCATTGTCATTATGCTGTTGTTCTTGCTCCTCTCATAGTTGTATTTCATAGTTTAGATGTCCTAATTTTAAAAGAATTTCAGAGATTTAAAGGTTCCCTCCAAGTGTTGATTTTGTATTTTCTCATTTTATCCATTTTCCCACTCATTTTTGGAAGTGAATTAAACTCACTGGATTTAAAGAAAGCCAAATTTTTGTAAATAAGTACAAATCTCCACAATGCTCTGGTAACACACAAAATCCAAGGATTCACCTTTAGAAATTTAGACTACTTGACCAGGAAGCCCTTTATAGTAAGGGGCATTGGAGCCAAATGCTCGACCACAAGGCAAGAATGAGTACTCCAAACTCTTTCTGCTGCCTGTTATCATCACCTTATTCTTTGCTTGTTTTTAATATAGATGGATTTTATTTCTATTCATAACAAGTCAATGAAATCACACATTATTTGGGAGAAAATGGATAACTCCTAATGAAAACATAAATAGATCAGCATAATGATGTTTGTAGTAAGGAATTAATGAATACATTTCTCTTTGTTCTTAGATATCCTCAAATGCAGGTGAAATTAAATATATTCCAGTAAGTATAGATTTTTTTTAACTTGTATATGGATCATTATAAAATTTTTAAAATAATCATCTGTATGAACTACTATGGGGAAATAGTAGCTTAGTATTTTTGACAGCCTCATTTGGTGGCACCATGGTCCAAATTAATGATCTTGATGATAACTAAGACTTTCACCATTACATTTTTTGTTCCTTTCCTTACCTTATTGCTTTTTGTAACTGACATTAACATTTCTCTAATTACCAATACCTACTTATACTCTTTCCCTTCCTTGTGATGATTTTCTCCTCSTGATTTTCCACTGTCAGTGTGTTTTGAGGCATTGAAGAACCATCACTGCATAACTCCAAGAAGACTTTATACATGGCATTATCCATGTGGGATCATTAGCAATGCAGTGGGTACATTGCAGCCATCATATTCTAGAGGGGACCCTGAGCCACTCAAACAGTTAATACAGCTTTAGTTTTGATTTATTTTTAACAAAGGAATGTTTTATAAAACAGTAGAATTGATCAGCTCATTATCTAAAATAAGTTTTGCATATCCAAAGCTTCTTSTGGAATGGTATTTAACAGTTTTCTTGTCTCAAGTTATCTATTCAACTTAAAACTCATTAGTTTTTTTTAAAAAAAATATGCTTAGCTTTATTGTATTTTCCAGTCTGTCATTGTGGATTTTCAGCTACTTCAATATAAAGTCTTTATTTTTCCTTGTCTCTGAAATGACACTGAGGCCTACCTACAACACATTGTTAAAGGTGGTATCATTAAGCATTTTGTCATTGAAGAAGGAACTTCTTGGAGTTGTGCAGTGTYCGTTCCCCCAACAATGCTGAGCACTGGTTCCCTCTAAGTTGTTTGCAAGACAGTGTTGTGTGGCATCTCTGAAAGGGAAAGTGCAAGCATGTGGATTCACACAAACAAGCTTTTAATTTTGGATGTTAGGAATAAGGGGAAGGAATCCAGGCTGCCTTAAAATGGAAGAACATCACTGCTGCCTTTTCAAAATGATATTCCTCAGCATTCTAACGTTTCCATTTTGTTGAGTACTGTCACATTAACTGAGATACAAAACATCAGTTAGCTTAGTGAACATCTGTTGACCTTTGTCTGGAAATCCACTCTCCTGTACTGTCCTATTTTCCTTTCCTCATTATCTCAGTACATTCTGGTAAGGACCTTTGCCTCTGTTCAGTCTTCAGGCTGAGTGGGATAGTGAGCAACAGGGGATTGTTCTTAGAATCGCTTTGGATTGTCTGTCAAACCGTTCATGTTTATTGCCATAACTTCCTTGTCCAAGAGAGATATTTCATTGTGGGAAAGCTCATGGCACATCTACCACCCACAAAAAACAGCCCTCAATTTTAAGAATACAGTGACCTGCCTGCTGCTTTTTCAACAGCGTTGAAATCAAGGTCCCCACTGTTATTTAATGATTGTATTTAAGGTACCTGTTTATCACTAGGTGCATTGTAATCCCCCTGCTGTCACAGGTGTGTGTGTATGTATGTTTGTGTATGTAAAATAGGTTGAGAAACAAGTTTTGGAAGTGTTTATATATTCTGGTAGCCCTTAGAGTACTTTCTTAGTTTATCTCAGAGTCTGCCTAAAAATCATTCAACTGGTSCTCTTTGTCAAAAGAAACCAACAATAAACAAAGATGGAGAAATTTTACCGTTTTAGTGTGGGACACCTCTGCTGTGTCCTGTTCCAGAGCTGGTATGGGTAGAGTGGTGAGTGCCTTCTCTCTGTCCTTAKGGATATGGGAAGTTCCTTACAGATTCTGAATCCATGCAACCTGATGCCATTGTCATCCTTTCTGTTCCATGCAGGAGGGTCACAAGTGGGAAGACGGTCCCTGCAGGGTGTGTGAGTGCCGGGGCGCCCAGGTCACTTGCTACGAGCCCTCTTGCCCGCCATGTCCAGTGGCCACCCTAGCCCTGCAGGTGAAGGGACAGTGTTGCCCAGATTGTACTTCAGGTGGGTCCATGTGCCGTGTATTTCTGATAAAATGGTTTTTCTGGCAGAAATTTCAGGGAAATTCTTTTTCTTCCCTTATGTCTTTCTCTTTAGTCACTTGATTTGAGAGGATTCCCCCCCCCTTAATTTTTCTTTTTTTTAATATTCATTTTTTAGTTATAGTTAGACACAATATCTCTATTTCGTTTATTTATTTTTATGTGGTGCTGAGGATCTAACCCAGTGTCCTGCCCATACAAGGCGAGTGTTCTACCACTGAGCCACAACCCCAGCGCCCCCCCACCCGCCTTAATTTTTCTAACAAAAAATTGTAGTGAATCTTCACCCTATAATTGACAAACTCARCTGATTACAGTTGTGTCACCTTAGGCATTGACCTCATCTTAATTTTCTTGTTGACAAAACATGCCTTATCTATGTTGTAAAAGTTTGGTGAAAATCAAATCACATGTTTGAAAATTTGTAAAGGCCAATCTGTCTCCCAGTATTGGAAATTCAAGAATAATTACACAAATTTTGTTATGTACGTTTATTCTTTCTTATTTTAAGGGAGCTATTAAGCAGATGGTTTCTTTTGGAGTTCTCAAATGGGGTTTTAAAGTTTAAAGACTCATTAATCTCTTCCAAAAGAAAATTTTATCTACTTGTTCTGCAATTCTGCTTTCAAATCACCTGGGGTTGAATTAGTTCCAGTTAATAATTGTTGGCAAGCTCTCGAGTTGCTGTGGCTGAGCAGTAATTCACATATAAGCTTAGTCTCTCTTAGAGAAATGGCACTTTCTTCCATTTATATTTCATAATTAATTGTTTTCATCYATGGGCCACAGTTTTTCACGTTGGTAGTTGCTCTTGTTATACACACCTTATTTTGGCTAATCACGGTGTTTCACTGGAGAGTTTATCAAGGGAAAAGCAAAGCAGCTTTATAGTTTAATTATGTTACCTTCACCACAGTGGCTCTTTGGGCTTTCCAAAACAAATATTTTAACATATTATTATGCATTATACATCGAAAATCAGGTCCTCGATGACTTCAGAACCTGAAAATAGTCTTTTGCTGACAATTAACACTAAGGTCAGTGATGCCCCCAATTACTGATAATGAGATTTAAGATTCTGGARAAAAAGAAGAAAATGGGCTGTTTTGGAAAAGATAATAATCATTGTTTTTAAACTTTGTAGGTTTTCATGTCTGTCCTTTTTGTGTGTGCCAAGCTTAAGAGGAACATCTTAGATATTGTAAATTATTGATTCTGTTTAAATCACATACTGTGGAGAGAGTTGCTCCTGTTTCTAGAATCCTCTCAGCAGGCAGAGACACTAACGAGGCTGTTCTTTTAGCATCTTTAATTTGGGCTATGAAGGCAGTTGGTGGTATTTCAGACAAGGAGGGGTTCCATAGAATCTTGTATTGAAATGCATTTTTCACTATTTGGGGGGCCTTTTTACACCTCCATTCTACAGTTTTCTGTCCTTCATCTTGTCTGTCATACGTATGTATAAAGCCTGTGGATGCTTTTTCTGAAAGGTATGAAAATATCCTAAGGCCTTGACCGAGCTCTTCTCTTCTTTGTCCTTAATTTCAGTCCGTTGTCATCCAGACTGCTTGACCTGCTCTCACTCTCCGGATCACTGTGACCTCTGCCAGGACCCCACACAGTTGCTGCAGAATGGACGGTGTGTGCACAGCTGCGGCCTGGGATTTTACCAAGCTGGCAGTCTCTGCTTAGGTATGGCCCTGGTGGGAAAGCTGGAGGTGGCACTGTGTAGTGGAGAGAGAGATTCCTCAGAGATTGGTCTTCTCAAACGGAGGCTCAGTACTGTCAAGGAGGGGGTTGTGTATGCAGGAAATGCACAATATCTAAAAACCACTGGAAGRTGCTAATGCCATCCATTGGTTACTTGGCCTCTCCACCTTCAGGTCTCTTTCTTCTCACATTTAAAAGTATTTCAGTACTAAYTGGGAAAAAGGTGGTCTGGAAGTCAGATGGTTGCTAGGGAGTCMTAGCTGGATTTGTTTCATTTTTGAAGACTTTCAAGGATAGTGATATCATTGGGATGTTTGGTGTCTTTTATTAAAACACTCATTTAATCCATGATAGAAATTTACATTGACATAGTCCTTCAAAACTACTTACTAAAACTTTCCAGTTTTGCACATGAGGAACCTAAAGCAGGGAAGTTAATGCCAATTAATTGACTTGCTCTGTATCACACAGGTCATTGTTAAGAGAGCTTATCTCTTTTGAGCTACCTGAGGATTCGGGAAGGGTTCAGGTTCATTTCATAATTTTTGTACATCTGAGAAGGAGCTCTTACTTGGGAGACTTTAGCTTGGTTGACATYGGATCTAGTTACTTTCTCCCTTATCTCTGATTTTGGAGGTTAATTATTCATTTAAGAGCACATAGGGTCATAGCCTGGCAGTGACTACATAGCCTCTCTTTTGCTCAATAGTCTTATCTGTAAAGTGGAGGTAATCTTAGTACCTTCTTCAGAGTTTTTGTGAAGATTAAGCATGTCTATACCTGCTGAGCACCTAGAATAGTGTCTAGAATATAGACAGGGCTCAGTAAGCGTTAGCCACTTTTATTATTATTMTTGTAATTRTTCACTTCTCCMCACTTTCTYTTTTGATTTATGATCTTCAACCTTYTGGAAAGTTATTTATTTTATCTGCCATAAGATGTGGAGGAAAAGAGGCAAGGAATATGTTCGCAAAAAGGTTGAGTGACAAAGCTATTGGAAGCTATTAGATGAGAAGAAAAGATCATAGACTCCTGAACCAAATTGCCTGTCTTCAAATGCCAATTCTGTGTAGACTTGGACAGGTTTACTTAACCTCTCAGAGCTTGTTCTTTATTCATAAAATTGGGATTAAGGTTATCTACCTCATAGGGTTGTTGTGAACATTAAAGGCATTGGTATATATATATATAAAGTGCTTGAACAATGGCTGACACAACCACATGCTATGGAAATATTATTGGCTCCTGTCTTTTTCTCTGGGACTCCAGAGGCTCAGGATTGAGCTGAGTCAGCCCTAGGGTGATGTTTTTGAACTCATCAGTTGTTTCTTTTCCTTTCTTGATTCTTGTCTGGAGCCAGCCTGCCAGCCTCAGTGTTCCACGTGCTCCAGTGGGCTGGAGTGCTCCTCCTGCCAGCCTCCCCTGCTGATGCGGCGTGGGCAGTGCGTGTCCACCTGTGGGGAAGGCTTCTACCAAGATCGCCACTCCTGTGAAGGTAAGCACTGTCGGGCTCCAGCCAGGCAGGCCACAGAGGAAGCTCGTCACCCTCACTCAACAGAGACTTGGGGCTATCAGGAGATGAAAGCTGTTTTTCAAATAGAAATGCAATGTTTAGATTGACTTGTCCCCAAGAGGACATGAGCTGGAAGCTGGGTTCCCCATGGCAGTGTTTAGGTGGTAAGAAATTTAAGAGGTAGGGCCTCATGGAAAATAATTAGGTCATGGGGACCCTACCTCTCATGAATGAATTAATGGCACCTCTTGGAGATTTGGCTCTTATGGGACTAGATCAGTACCACAAGAGTGAGAAGTTATAAAGCTAAGTCACTCATATGTGTGACTTCTTCTGCATGTGGCCTATTCCCTTTCTTCTTCTTTACCATGTTGTGATGCAGGTGGGGGCTCCTWGCCAGGATGCAGGTGCCATGCTCTTTTGATTCTCCAGCCAATAAAATCAAGGGCCAAATAAACCTTTACACATAATAAGTCACTTGGCCTCAGGTATTTTGTTATAGCAATCAATTATTCTAAGACAGGAGGAAACTCTGAATAAGGCTTCTGATGGAATGAAAAGAATKATGAATGGAAGAGATGACACATTTGTTTTTTATAACATTATTAGATTACTCTAGTATCTATATACTTTAGTAGATTTATATGCCTAATTTTATTTTACATTTTTAATTTTGTTTTTAATTAAGATCTAGTTGAAATTCTTTTTTTTTTTCCAAAATTCTTAATATTATTATAATCTCCAGAGGTAGAAGTGRCCATATTATAATTTAATTTACTTATACCTGAGCAATTTTTCAATAGTGATTATAACCTTGCATATAAGTAAAACAAGTAAATGTATAAAGAATCTTTTAAATGAAGAATGGGAGAGAAAGGTCGTGGTAAAAGCCTAAAGGCAAAGAAGGGAGATAAAAGTTTGTCTTTAGAAGGATAATAGGATCTGCTCCATTTGTGTACAATGAAACAAAATGCATCCTGCTGTCATGTATAACTAATTAGAACAACAACAACAAAAAGATGTGCCCAGACCCTCAGGCCAGGTTTGTGGTAGCCGGTAAATCTGAAAACGTGGATGGTCCAGCCATCATGCCTGGGAGCTGCAGTATCTGTGCCCTGCAGCTGAGGACAGTGGATCTGTGAGGAGAATTGGAAAGTGGGCCAATCTGAGGGGCAACTGATAATGGTCCTCTTTCATGCCTTTGATGAGATTTTTTCAGGAAAATCATTTGGAGGGAAAGGAGTACAGGAGAACAAGTGCCCTGAGCTCTGCAGATGTGCAGGCTGCAGGTGCTCCATGTGGGGGTCCTAAGTGGAGGGGGCTGCTGGTTCCCTCCATCCCAGGTCATGGGTCACAGTCAGAGCCCATTGGATTATAGGAATAGTCTTGAAAGGAGACACTCCTGCTGTTTATGCCCATAGAAATATGAGGAAGAAGGGACTGTTTTGTGGCAGTCTTGTGGTGGAATGTGGAAGGAGTTTGGCTGGGGGGCTCTTTGAGATCTCTAAGTGTGACTTCTCAATCTCTGCACCCCCAGCATTCAGGGTTGCACAAAGTACTCTTTTATTGATTGAGGTAGGATAAATGAATGAATGATTCCTTCATTCCCTTGAAGGACCCTGTGGCTCCATAACTAAGCCTAAGCCATAAAGGAGAAGACAAATCTTAGTGTTTATGGTTTATCTTATTCTATTTACCTGTGATTTTAGAACGGGCTCGAATGAGCCCATAGAATAGGCTTTGTGAATGTGTAATGGCAGGACAATTTGAGTAAACTGCTGAAATTTCAATTTGATGAAATTATTGAATGTATTCCTTACTCTTTTCTTCAATCCCATCAAAGAGATCTCCTGCTAACAATCCTGTGACAGATTTGCCTTTAGAGAAGAATTCATTCCCCCCTAGATTGTTCACCTCCCGTGTATCACCTCCACCTCCTGGGATACACACATGCCACATACACATTTCTTTTTTGTTCCTTTTGCCATTTTCCTTTCTCCCATGCCTAGTGTTTTAATTGGTGATGCTAATGCTGTGTTAGGGCATTTTGAAATGGGTAATGTTTCATTTGATTACTGGTTTATGTAGCTGCCTGCTTCACATTCCATCCACATATCCACACACAAATGCCTCTAGTAGAAAGTTGCTGGGAAAATTTGTTCATGCTCCCTCCAGGGAATTAAACCAATTTGCTTTAGTTCAGGCTGGTTGCATTTTTATGCATAAAATAGGGGAAAAAAACATCAAGAGGAGAGTGGGAGAGAGACTAGAAGTAAGAGGAGAGAGAGAGAGAGAGAGAGAGAGAGAGAGAGAGAATGATCTTAAAAAATTAAAGCTAGATTTGTGATCAATTTCCAGATACATTCTTGGCACCAAGGCTGCCCAAATTATCTTTGCAAATAATGTTTCTCAGCATTGGAAATTTTTGTAACATTTGTGCTTGTGCATTTTTGTTGACTCTTCACCATTGACCTTGGAAGTGGGTCAGCCAGCCAGTATTCTTTCGATACGTGCTAAACTTTTCAAAAAGAAGCCTGCCATTTTTGATACTAACACATTCTTCTGGATTGTTTTGTTTGGGCAGGGTCATTTATGCTATGACTGGGATAATTCTCTACTTTATTGACACATCAAAACCAAAAGAAAGTGAACACTGTGCTGAGAAAACTAATGAACAGAAATTACCTGATTAATATTCATGCTCACTATGTTGAATATAGGGCAGAGGGAAAAATATGGGACAGAGCCAAGTAGCACACATCCAGGGGTCTAAACAAAAGAGTATGAGTAGGTCAACCAGAGAGGGCACAAGAAAGTACTAGGCCTGCCCAAGGATCCCATCCTAAGGGGCTCTTATTTTTCCCTTTTTGCTTGAGTTTGGTGGTATAAACATGCACTCACGCATGTGCATACATGCATACACCTATGCATTTAAACATGTGTGCATTTATCAGTATTACTGCTGCATCTTGGATTAGATTAAACCAAATCATGTTGTAATTATAGGCTACATTATGCATCCCATACCAATCCCTGCTTCATCTCCCCTGCCTTCCCCAATTTTGGAGTTTGATGATTTGATCACTTTACATTATAGCTCAACATTACCCAGTTTTTTATAACAATCTAAGTCAGGGACAAAGCCATATGTAAGTTGCCTCTTCTCCATGGCAGGTAGGCCATAGARTAATCGCCCTGTCAGGGCCCAAACTGTGCATTTCAGTCCTGGCACTCATGTTCCTGCTTTAACCTCTGTGCTTCCTATGCCACCAGCTGGATCTTGTWTAGCATCCTTTTTTGCCCACTCTGTTCCAATCTTGTTGACCCTGTGTAACTTAGATCCTAGGATTGGGCTTCTGCTTTTATTCCTGCTCCCTGTCCTGTTCTGACCCATTTCCAGGAATTAAAAGCCCATCTCTTGGCCGAGCATGGTGGCACATGCCTATAAATCCCAGCAGCTCAGGAGGCTGAGATGGGAGGATTGTGAGTTCAAAGCCAGACTTGGCAATTTAGTGAGGCCCTAAGCAACTCAGTGAGAACCTGTTTCTAAATAAAATGTAATAAAAGGGCCGGGGATGTGGCGCAGTGGCTAAGTGCCACTGGGTTCAATCCCTGGTGCCAAAAAAATAAAAGAAAATAAATTAATTAATAAAAAGAAATTTAAATATCAAAGCCCATCTCTTAATCACCTGCAGCTTGATGGTCAGGCTTCAACTGTGTATGGCCATTCCTTGACCCCTCTCCCCCACCATGCCAAATGACTTTGCACCTTTCCTTCATGGCTCTTTGGTACCACTTGTCCTGGATCTATTCTTTCTCATTTTATCATCTTAGAAACTCTAGTATTAAATCTAAATTTAGATCCAGACTGTACTTTCCAGGTCTTGAGAACATTTGTCCTTGCTCATCTTGCCCCATTTTTAAACATCAACTTGTGTTCTACTTTGGTGGGACCATTGTCCTGTGCACATAAAGCCTAGTCATAAAAACCTTTAAGAAGAGCTTAAACAGCCAACAAGACATGTCATGCAAGATTAAAAGAAGTAGCTCATAAGACTAAACTTTGAATGGAGAAAGAGTAGAATTTATCTCATTTTCTCATGTGTATTAATATTTAGTTTTTCTGTTTAAAACTCAAATTATTCATAAAGGCCTAAGGATGGAGCTATGTATTCCCATAGCAAATGTTGCCTTAATTCTGCAGATCCAGGGTTGGGAGGGAGCAGGGCACAATGGTCAAAAGCTTAGGCTCTGGAGCCAAACCAGCTGGATTCTAATCTTGGCTCCATCTCCTAGATAGTCTTTTTTATTTTTCTTAATTTTTTTGTAGTTTTTTACATAGTCTTTATCTTCATGATTCAGTTGTCTATGGGTAAAACTGARAGTCAATAATATCTGCAACGTGGCATTGCCATGAAGACTAAGTGAGTGCATTCACATATATTGTAGGAGATGGTGCGCCATACCTGGCAAGTCCTCCGTTATACATTGAAGGATCTGAATTTCTGCTTCCCATTGAACTTATTCTATGTTCCTTTCTCCAATTCCCCAATTCAGTCTCTGTTGACCACTGCACCTAGTTCTGAGGATATGAAGAGGAGTAAGATTCAGTCTTTGACTTTATAGTGATTGGCAATTGAGGTGAGTTAGCCATTGCTTGCAGAGATAGAAAACAACAATGAACCAACCCAGCAAACATCTTTGAAGTTTTTTTCTATATTTGAGTATTTTATGGCCATAGATATTGAAACCTAAAGAATCAAGACATTTAGACATTTTATGAGATCATAAAGTAAAGGATTATTTTGAATCTCCATTCTACTACTTATTTCTATATGATTCTGGGCAATTTGGTTAACTTCAATTCCTTCAACTCTAAAATGGGGATAATATTATCTACTTTACACTGTTATTATGAGGAACAGGGAAGATGTTTGAAAAGCATAAATATGCTTGGTTCATAATATGTAGACAATAAAAGG